TTTTTTAAAATACTTTAATTGCTCCGAGGGCATTCTAATTTTGGTAAAAAAAAAAACTTTAGAGTATAATAAAACAACACACCAAATTTTATTAAAATCGATTCGAGTTTTCGCAAAATAATTTTTTGAAATAAAAAAATCGAATTTTCAAAATGTTGCACAGCCTCAAATAAAGCATCCAGATACTTAAAAATTCTTTCACATAGAAAACTCTGCTCAACCTTTCAAATGGTCTTTGAAAAATTGAAATTAGTTGATTAGGACGGCCACAGTAAATTTTTAAAGTTAACATTCTTTTTTTATTTTTAAACAATTTTAAAGTACTAGAAAGACGCTTCTTTTTTTTAAAAAAGTTAAATTCCGTTTATTGGTTCTCGAGATATAAGCTTTCAAACTTTATCGGCATTTACCGTTAATTTATAACAATTTAGCAATAATCTTTGATCCAGTGGCTTCGTTTTTCCGAATTGTAAGCTGGAAAAAATTTTCATATCCATAAGTTATCGGCAACATAAATAAATCAGCGGATTACATTTATAAATTGCAATTTATTTATTTTTTTAAATTATAATTTTAAAGTACTCGGAAATACGCTTCTTTAAAAAAAAATTATTGGTACTCCAGATATAAGTGGTCAAAGTTTATCAGCATTTACTGTTAATTTGTAAACAATTGACTCAAAACACCCAAAATGGAGGGGGCTTTCGCTCCGAGACTGAATTTAGAAATTCAAAATGCGTAGGTATGAAAAAAATTACATTATCTCGACTTTAAGCCAAGGAATTCGAATATAGTAATGCCAAACTGTCTAATTTGCACATATTTTGTTATACCTAAACAAAGTTCATTATTTATGCATTAAATAATACTGTAGTGTATATATTACCCTATGTTATTGCATTTTTTTAATGAAAAAATTTGTTTATGTATATATTTCAACACTCTGAATATGAATGTATTTAGTTATAATTATTACAATTATTTAAATATTTTTTTTNTTTAATGTCTGGCGTATAATGATAATGACACTTTAACAAGACCTTTAACCGTTAACATTCATCATAGACCTAAGAAGGCGACCAACCAGCCTCTTTGATAAACAGTACTTTAAGGATACTATTTTTCGAAATTCCGGCGTTTTTGCCAAATATATGTCGGAGACACTTGGTGGACATGGGAATTAGTTTACTATGTTGTCTCCATCGAAATAATACACGGGTGACGTGACACTATTTATTACAAATACGGGAGCTGGTATACAAGTTGTAAAATAGGAACTAACGGTCCGCCACTGTCAGCCCTAGCAACCTGTTCACTACTTTTCTATCAAAACAATAATAACAGTAATAATAATAATAGTAAAAGCCACACGGCTATGGTTGTTTCATCAATTCAATGATCCAGTTGCTTCCCGGGCTTTCAGTTTTGTTCCGTTCACAGGGGCGGTACCCAGTGCATTCCTTTTACCCTATCAGTTTACTTTTTACCAGACATGACCATATAAGGAAGTGTTTACAAAAGTTAGATAATGATGGTCTTTCTCACACAGACTAAAACTTAACCCTCAAGAGATAATATTTCTGTAACATAAACAAAAACAAGCTCTCAACATTCCATCGACGTCGTTCTTCGAGTGGCTACGAATCATAAGCGGTTATAAGGGTGATGCCGACATATATGTATAGTTTGAAGAGGAAAATAGTTTTAGAATTGAATTTTGCACGATATACTGTAAGTTAAAAATGTTTAAATTTATTACCGATGTTGCAAAATAGCAATAATTGATGAAAAAAAGNCCAGTTGCTTCCCGGGCTTTCAGTTTTGTTCCGTTCACAGGGGCGGTACCCAGTGCATTCCTTTTACCCTATCAGTTTACTTTTTACCAGACATGACCATATAAGGAAGTGTTTACAAAAGTTAGATAATGATGGTCTTTCACACACAGACTAAAACTTAACCCTCAAGAGATAATATTTCTGTAACATAAACAAAAACAATCTCTCAACATTCCATCGACGTCGTTCTTCGAGTGGCTACGAATCATAAGCGGTTATAAGGGTGATGCCGACATATATAGGTTATACGAAAAAAATGAATCTCGACCTAATGCCGTACAAAAATAGCAATACCGGAAGGTGATTTACTACAGTACCGCATTTATACTGCAAGTTTCGGATTGATACGTAGATAACTTTTTTAGTGACGCCGTACGTATCTGCTGATACAGGGGTTAGAAATGCAAGGCGCAACCCTCTATTTTAGCCCCCATTGTTTCAAGTCATTGAAAAATGTACGGCATCGATTCCACATAATTATTTACCACTCCAAATAATTCTTAGCAACTATACCGACTGAAAATTATGGTTAATGCAAAAGTTTATAAACAATTACTTATATTTTGAAATTAAGTTTTATTTTTTTCGATAAGATCATTAATTCGGCAACCACTTTTTTGATAAAATATAACCAAAAACTATCGTACTAAATCATGGCCGGTTATAATTAATTAATGGTACAAATTAAAGGTCGATATAAAAATTATTAATTTAAAAAATTTTAAATAATTTTTTTTCACAAGTACATAAGTAAAATTCTTTCAAAATCCAAAAAATTATTATTAAAAAATCAATAAAAAGATCTGCATTCGAATATTTTGTAAAAAAAATATTTTTATTTTAAAATTAAAATTACCGCTTCGAGACTAGCTGACCATCGAAACATCTTCTTTCTCTGTTTTTTTTTCTTTTCGATGTGTAAATTTTTATGTGGTTTTATTCATGTTTATAACCGACAATCTTAAAGTTGTTTTTGTAACAAATGCACTTTTAAAATATTTTTACTATTTTAAACATTTCCTCGATTCTCTATACACATTTTTTTTAATATTAAAGACAATGCCATCATAATTTCTACGGTATAAATTAAATTTCACTTGAAATTAGGATAAAACTCATTTTGAACTTATACAGTTTCGGAGAATTGTTCCAACGAATATGTACGGCATTGCAATTTTCATTGTTTATGTTATATTTCTGATGAAAATTTGCAAATGCCGTAATGACCTAAAAATGTTGTAAAAATTTAATGAAAAAATATTATCAGCTATGTAAAATCCACTAGTTAAAAATGTACTAAATTGGCTTTTTTATTTTTTTACTTACCTATGAAAAGTCAATTACAGCCATAATATTTTGAATATAACATTTTTAGTTTATAACAAGGATTTTTCAAAATATTATAAATTTTCACAATAATAAAAACAATATTTGTTTTTGAATTCGAATGTTTAATTTGTACCATTAATTATAACCGGCCATGATTTAGTACGACAGTTTTTGGTTATATGTATTTTATCAAAAAAGTGGTTGCCGTACAGGAATTAATGATCTTATGGAAAAAAAAACTCAATTCCAAAATACAAGTAATTGTTTATAAACATTTGCATTAATCATAATTTTCAGACGGCATAGTTGCTAAAAATTATTTGGAGAGTTAAATAATTATGACTTGAAACAATACTACGTATCAATCCGAAACTTGCAGTATAAATGCCGTACTGTAATAAATCACCAAAAACCGGGCCAAAATTTTCAGAAAATCAAAAATTTTCCTGGCTTCCGGTATTGCTATTTTTGTGCGGCATTAGGTCGAGGTTAATTTTTTGTATAACTTATATACTTTAGAAATGTCGTACAAAAATGTTTTGCCGAAAACCACCCCCCTTGGTGGACAGGTTTAGCTTACTTCTGTACTCACCTGTACCAACAAGAATTGACGGCATAGTTTCTAAAGTTATTGTTATATGTGGTAGTATTGATTTATAAGTAATTCATGCTGGGTCAAATGACCCCCTGAAAATTTCCGATGGGCTTGTAGTTTAGAGCTTTGCCGGACTACATAGCCAGTGAAACAAAAAAAAAAAAAATGATTTCGTAATTATTATGCTGAGTTTATTGAAATTATATTGGTTGAAGATGTATTTAATTACGAAATGTATATAATAAAAATGACCTCTTTACTTTAAACACCCGTGAATATTATGTAATTACATATATGTATTTCGTTTTATGGAAAAATTTTTACACGCTGAAGATTCCGAACTTTTAAAATTTACATTTGTCTAAATTTTAATAAAGTATATATACGTAATATTCTACCTAAAAAAACGATAAAGAAACATGTAAAATAAATAAATACCTGTTCAAAATAATTTGCGCGTTACCTTAAAAGATGGTTCACTACTGATATCCATTTTGTTGAAAATATTCCATCATTAAATATTAATAATTACTAAGAATCTATATAAACATTAAAAACCACTTCCTTAGTAGAAGCAATAACTGATAACAAAAGTATTTAACTGTATTTGAATAATTTCATTATACGTGCACATAAGTTGATCAGTTTCCTTTGTTTACTCTGGTTTAAATGAAAAAAAAAATATTTTTTTGCGGAAAAGTAGACAAAACAAAATTTCCTAGGAAATTTTCAATAGTTTATTTTCCGCAGATGCACGTATATTCAGCTAAATTAAGAAAATCGGTTTAAATTAAAAAAAAAACATGCCCTTATTTAAAAGTAACTTCGCCAACTTATCAAAAAGTATGAATACCCACTCACCTATTCACTAGTCTTAAAATTCAACTTGTACTTGCTCGATCCAAGAGAAAGCTACATCGTACAAGTCTGAACACCATTTACATACAGATGAACAAAAACCTCTAAAGAAAACGTATTATTTTAAAATATTATGACGTGAACTTTATTAAAGTTCGATTAACGGAGACTAAACGTTAATTTCTAGTGCTAACTGCAAAGTTATATTGTTGTTACAAAATATTAAACAATCACATGCCCGTAGTCTAACACAGAGTATTGTTATTTTGTTTACAATGTAATGAACAATAATATATTTATTATCTTAAATATAGAAATATAAAAGCGAAAACGCTACTGGATTTTGGTTAATTAAATTTTGGTGGAATTTTTATTAGAAGGCAACAAATACGTGATTGAAACGATGTTGAAAATTTAATATTCAAACAAATTAATAAATTTGTTAAAATAATTACCTTGCTTTCCACAATGTTGCATGTCCGTGTGACGTAGGATGAGTTCTGGTTAAAACCAACCAGGTTATTTGCTGTTACCTGTGCAGAACAATAATAAATTAAACGCCTGCATTTAATGAAAACTACTTTCAAGTAAATCATATTATTTAAATGGGAAATTATATAATATATACTTTATTATTCTCTTTATTAGTGACATGCATTTAGATCGGTTAGTCAACACATTTATATTAAACTAATATGTAATAGTATATACAGGGTGTTTACTAAAGAATGGGCCATACTTTAAGGCTAGCTTCCTTGGAAGAAAATAAGGTGCAACTTATTATCTAGTACCAGCTTGCTTCTTTAATAAGTTACAGGCCCTAAAAAATAGATTTTTAATTAACTTTTTTACGATAATATATTTATTTATTTGGATAATTTTATTCAAATTTTGGAAAAGTAGTTTTTTTTTGTATTATAAACACGAAAACATGTTTGTTTTTTACTCTTAAACTACGTACACATTAAGTTTGAAAATAATACATAAATTATAATAAATTATTATTAATTCAAAATATTATTATAGCTAGTAATGTGGTTCTTATAACAACGAAAACGTAAACGTAGAATAAAATAAAAAAACAACCATTTAGACCTAAATGTAATAGCAAAAACAATTTTTCCTTTAAATTTGATTTTCAAAATGTCGGCCATTTGCTTCTTATGCATCTCTATAAGAAATTTCTTCTGTTAAGAATGTCGGAAGGATATACCTAATATCTTTTGCTGCTGTCACTATTCTTTGCCACAATTCATTTCTGGTGTTAACAGTACGACCAGAAAAAAAAACAGTTTTAATATATCCCCATAAATAGAAATCCAGAGGATTCAAACCTGGGCTTCATGAATGTACACCTTATTTCAATGATTTCTTACTGCTAAAGTAGAATGAGCAGGGGCACCATTCTGTATGTACCACATACTAGCTATAATATTTAATGGGACATCATCTAGCAGATCGAATAAGTCCTACAAGGTGATATTCGACTATACCGAACCAAACATTTGATTTAAATTCGTGTTCCAAAATTTGAGAAAAATTACCCAAATAATAAATAAATTATTATAAAAAATTGAAATAAAAAACTACTTTCTCGGACCTATAACTTCTTAAGGAAGCCAGATGGCATTAGGTAAGTTGATTTAAATCACTTTATTTTCATTCAAGGAAGCTAGCCTTCTTTACGAAACACCCTGCTAGCAGGTATATTCACTTTGAGTTATTTTTCTTAAGATTTAACCGTAGTACGAACATAGTTTTAAATCTGCTGAAAGTTTTATTTTCTAATATACGAGCCACATTGTTTCTTTGTCACCAATAAAGGGAGTTAACAGTGTCAGACTGCCAAAACATTGGCCTACTGAGCAAATAAATTTTTTGGCGCAATATGACAAAGTTAAATTTAAAAACTTATTATTTCCGTCGATCTCACCATAAAATGCAACTTTACGAACACACTCCGAGGAAAGTGTGACTTTTTATAATTAGTAATCAGTGGTCATGTGGACGCGAAGTAACTCGGTCAGGAAAGTTTGCGAGGACATAAAATAACGTCACTTCTAAAAGTGAGACTAAATCAAAAGTTAACGAAGCAAAGCCAAATCAGGACAAATTTAATAAGTGTGCTATGAGTATAAACTGCATTTTATAGCCTCATCAACTTATGGAGCAAATGTGATAAAAATACAATTTTTACATAACAACCATTAATCAACGTTCGTTTTTAAGATTGAAATGGATTTTGCACAGACTTTTATTCTATGCTGCTACATATTTCTCTTAATTTTGATAAAAAATGAAATTGTAAATGCAAACAGAGGAATAAGGTGTTGTAGCAGAGGAGATACGTCATTTGTACAATCCTGTAATTAAAAAATTTATTGTTTTTTCGAAGTACAGTTGTGTGTCTTTTTTTGGTCGTTTAAGTAATGGTTTATGGTGTGATATGTTTCTGCATATCGTTTAACAGTCATGTTGGCTATTCTATTCAAGTTAAAAACAATGGTAAAGTGATTCCTTCCCTCGAATACCAGCAAGAAGCCCTTAGAAATGTCTATAATTTTCTTCATATTCGCATAAAAACTCCGCTGCGACGAATGCCTAGAACCGACAGCATGGAAGAAAAGATGGTTTTTGTACATTGGGGAGTAGTTACGAGAGAGTGGGGTGAAAAATACCACCCTCATCATCATCCCTACCTTTGATAATCTCTATGAAACCTTACTGAGTCCTTTTTTTAATTTTTTATAGATTTTCCTATGGGCATGAGTTCAACTCTTGGATCTGGAGATCTGCCCGGGGTATGTCAGTATCAATTAATATAATTTATAAAAAAATCCGATATGACAAATCCTCGCAAATTCAAAACCGAGAACCTGGAAATAGGGGTGGTTTTTTCTCGATAGGGGTAGTACACAAGGTAAACTTTCAAGTTTTGGAACCTCGTTAAATGGACTAGAGGATGAGTAAAAATATTCACATTTGTCAAGAGAATAAAAAAGCAGTTGAATTTGAAGCAAGTAGATATTAATTTTCATATCATTTGACTAAATAAGCATAACATTTGCATCTGAGTTAGAGTGAAATATTATTGTACATAATGATGATATGTCCAATTTCATTTATAATACAAAAATAGGTTATGCAAATAAATTTTTATTGTTTTTCTATCTTTAAAACCAGATGGATTAAGTAACATCCTTCACACAAAATTTATTAAACATGTTCCTTAGAAAAACAAGTTGTAACACTTAAAACAGACAAATGGCCAAATTAAATACCAAGTGCAAAAAGTATAAAAACATGTGGCGTAAGAATGAGGAAAATGGCATTGTAAGTTATCCTATTATTGCGGCGGTTTATAGCATGAAATAAGACATGTTAGACATTGGAAACTTTGTGGCGACAATCAAATAAATAAACAGTAGTAATCTATGTTATGCTAGGAAGCGGCAATAGGCGTTGTTGTGACAGAAATTGGTTACAGCTGTGGTCAAGCCATGTGCCGCTTTATGCTCACAATACACAATGCTACTGACTGCCATAAAAACACGTGCCATACGCTCGACCAACCAAAGCGTCAAAGGACAATGAAATGCACGGCCAATAAATATATTTTATGGTAAGTTCCATGTGAAGGAGTTGTGTAGAAAAATAGACACTGCCTCTTTTTATTTCATACTATTAAGCAAATACTTAAACATATATTCTTATAATGTACAGAGTGTAGTTATAAGGTGGCAAAGGTTCTGTCACTTTTTGTTAGAATAAAATTACATAAAAGAGACAGCCTACAGCCAAACCTGTATCACATTGTACCCGCCCTAACATTTCCGATCTCTAGTGATTGATTATATCTTACAGTTCAGTTTCAGTAAAATAGAATATATTCACTACACAAAAATAGTACATTTTTATACACCCATTTTATTTTAATTTGTTAGATATTATTTTTTAATTAGGTCCATATTTCCTTCTTGCATCAGGTTCTTCAATCTTCAATTTTGTTTTATTCATTGGGAAATAATTCCTTCAAATAATCAATCACTTAATTTGCCTATTCTTTTGAAATTTTGCCGTCAATATTATAAACCGTACAAGGAGCTATTCAAGCTATTCGACCAATTCAAAGGAAATTTGGTTATCTGTTGCATATTTTCAAAATAATGAGTACAACTATTTATAAACAAGTGATAAACATGTTGACATGTCGTGTTCGAAATGTTTTCAGACGAAAATAGAACCGATTTATGACTTCTTTCTTATATGGTTTCTCTTGATCAGTAAACTGAGATGATATAAATTTTGACTGCAAAATAGGTATAAAAATATTTGGAATTGAAACAAATTTCCTAGGCTTTTTTGCTCTGTTTTATAGGTAATTTAAATAAATTTTTTTTCTTAAATCAACTTATCAAATAAAGTTATGTTTTGCGATATCAGAAATCTAGGTATGCATTTTTAATCCAATAGACAAGATTTCCAACGGATTTTGCAGGAAACAACAATTACTCAATAAATAGCTGGTAATAAAATAAATAATTATCCAAAATAAAAACCAAAGATAATATGCCTAAATATAATAGAAAAACGCACATCTGATATATTGAAATTGCTAAATAATATAATCAATTAAGGAAGTATTTTCTATTTTTGTTGTTCTCTCATCATCCTTGGCAAAGACGAATAAATAACACCTGGGACAAAGAGATTTTTTTGCTTCCACATTTTACTTAGGATTGTTTTGTCAGCGTCATTGAGAATGTATATGTATAAATATTAATGAACAAAATTATACATACATTTTAAACATTTAGAAAAAATTGAAACGAGTGAAACGAGTGTCAAAAGTGCTGAATATTGCTGGATTATAACGTGAATTTAATAAACCAATATTTGCTCATATTATTAAATACTTATCTTTTTAAATATTCTATTATCACTTTTATTCTAAAAATTCAACAAAATTTAAAAATTGTTTGAGTTCATTTGATAACATTTCTTGATTTTGTTTGAATTACCTTTAAAATAGAGTAGAAAAAATACGGATAATAACAGAGTATGTGTTTTTCACTGCAACTAGATTTACGATTTAGATATTAAATTTGAATGTTTGAAGAGTAAGAAATATAAGTACAAAACATTAATAAGACATCACAAATAAAATTTGGTTTGCTGTAAATCCAAAGGTAGAGGAACAAATACATATTTACCGCTGTTTCGGATATACAAATCCATCTTCATAGTATATAGAGATGATTCCTTCTATTAAAAAACGCATATTTTATTATTAGGGCTATCTGATGAAACAATTCCAAACAAAATGTGACAACAAGATCTCTTTGTTGTCACATGTTTTACGTGATTATTCTTAGTCAGAAGTGATAATAGGGCTACAAAAATGTAGGATATATTTTTTTAATTTAACACATTCAAAATAAAGTAAAAATATATAGGAATATACCTAGGAATTATAGATTTTGAGATATTATTTTTTAAAGAAAAGATTTGACAGATGCAAGGGTCCGCGGAGATGCTAGTAATTCTTTTCAGGAGCACGATATCAAGCGGATTTTTGGTACCTGTTAAGAGCATAGATAACGCTAAATTATGGTGTACCAACAAATTAAAACATTTAATACTAGGCTACGTTTTGATAACTTCAAACAGCTATAACTTTGTTAACTTAAATGGAACACCCTGTATTTTTTCACTCTGTCGTATGCAGATTGAAATTTCCTTTCAAGCCTTATAAGCACTGTTAGGGTTATCGTCACTACTTTTAGAGATATTTGCAATTTTCTATTTTTTGGATAGTTTTTCTCGTATCAAACCTTCTTTCAAATTGGCCATGACCAGAAACACTCCAAAACAATTAAAATAATTTGACATTTGTCAAGTTACTTGTCAAATTATTGTTATGTCTGTAATAGTTTTTGTTGGAAATTTAAATAAAAATGCCAGAGTATCGTTTAAATTATACTTATGAGGATTATTTTAATTTCTTTATTATTTTTGGAAAAAAGCAGCAGATTCTCTACATGTCCTTGCAATTACTTTATCACATTTTCCAAAAATAACAAACAAAATAAAATAATCCTCATTAGTATAATTTAAATTATCCCCAGGCATTTTTATTTAAATTTTCGGCAAAACTATTCAGACACAACAATAATTTGACAACTAACTTGACAAATGTCATGTTATTTCAATTGTTTTTGGAATGTTTCTGGTCATGACCAATTTGACAACAGGTCTGATACGAGAAAAACTGCCCAAAAAATAGAAAATTTTAAATATCTCTAAAAATCTTGAAAGAAAATTTCAATCTGCCTACGATAGAGTAAAAAAATACAGGATGTTCCATTTAAGTTAACAAAGTTATAGCTGTTTGAAGTTATCAAAATGTAACAGCAAAAATGAAACACCTAGTATTAAATGTTTTAATTTGTTGGTATACCATAATTTAGCGTTACCTATGCCCTTTACAGGTGCCAAAATCCGCTTGATAACACGGTCCTGAGAAGAGTTACTAACATCTCCGCGGACCTTTGCATCTGTCAAATTTTTTCTTTAAAAAAATCTATAAATCCTAGGTATAGGGAATATTTAATAAAGTGACCCTCAAATTTCACGTAGAATACGAAAATGCAATAATATATAGGGTATCCCACTTAAAATAACAAAGTTGGTGTCGCCTTCCGGTATAAACGGAAGTGCTGGAGAGTTCTAGATATTTTAGTTATGCTCGTCCTAGGGACATTGCCATGTTGACAAATTTTCAAAATTTTCGGAGTAGTACTTTCCTAGATATTGATCGACGCAGTTCCCGGTGGGATATCCTGTATACAACTATATTTTCTATTTAAGACAAGTAAATCGTGTCGAATTGCTTAATAAATGATGACAATAATTATACCTACCTCGTAACCGTTCTGCTCAAGGTCTAAGGTGTAATACGAATTATTTTGTTAATGATGATTGGGTAAATCGTCAACCTCACACACATCGCGCACATTATATTAACAAAACCACTTGGTGCACATACATATACTTTTACGGCACTAACGATAAAATATTTTATTGTTTCTGGTTGTAAACTTCTTAATTTATTATTTTCTAATAACAAAAGTGGGCGGACTTTGTTCGCGGTTAATTTGTTACAAAAAACAAACGATAAATACACGGACTGGATTCGATATGACTATATCACATTGGTGTAGTCGTTTGGGTTGTTTTGTCTTAAAATGACTTTATTTTCGAATGCACGGAAAAAGCAAAATATTCTTCGGTCAACGGCCCCGCAGGTTATTTTTAAATTCAATATTTCGATTTGTATGCGCTTTTGTAATAGATGTTCGCACGTTTTCCAGAACAAACTCGAAATTAGTTATGCAGTCTGGAGGATATTCGGACCACCACTGATACGTATTGATAATAGTAATCAAAATGAACAAAGAAACTGGGTACTTCATGCGCTTCCTTGGACAAACATGCACTCAATCTAGTTTTTTATCTGTTATTTACAAAGTTTGTAAGTCAAGCAAGTAATCATTAAAAAATGGTTTTAATTTTAACTAAACAAACAATTTTCAATCAGCGATGTCAGCTTTAGCAGGTAGGTAACTAATTGAATACTGATACCTTGCGTTAAATTAACATCCATTGTTTTAATTGCAAAACAGAATAAATGAACAGTGTATTACCATGTAAAAATATTTTTATTACACTTTAATTTCTTAACATTTTCTCAAATATGTATAAACTTTTGAAATTTTTAAATATCTTCCCATGAAATAGTAGTCCTCACTCAAATATTACGATTCAATATTTTCCAGAGATATACCAAGTTCGGAATTAAATTATTACCTATATGTTTAAATGTATGTTAGGCAACCAACTCGACTGGTACGAAAGTGAAAGTAAGTGAAAAAAATGACAGAATTTAACATTTGTCTGTGTTTGATACACTGGATGTTCTGGAGATGAGTGTAGAAAATTTGTGGAAAATTTGATTTTGATTTTGAAGTACAGAAAGTCAAAAATGAATTCTCAAAATTAAATTTTTGCCCCATATTTTCCAAATCCCATTGAAATTTGATACAGATAAGTATTTGAGGGTGATAAATACGTCACCATTATTAGTTTTTTAATAGAAGTTGTTAGATAATACACAAAAAATCAAATCTCTTTTTGCGAGAGTTTCGTCCGCAAAACAATGAAAATGAACTGCAGTAAAACGGACGGAAGTCATGTTGTGACGTCATACCATCCGTTTGCGACTAGTCCACATACTTGGCTTGGTCTCATATGTATATGAGACAATATGATGCAATTTTTTGAGATACGACGTAAAAGCGTAGTTCAGTTCTGTAATATTTGTTAAATACGTCTGTACGTAAGAAAGGAGACAATATGAATATCTAGCCATGAAAGTAGACAAAAACTAACAAACTAAAATAGAAACATCATTACAAGGGTGTCACGCAGTGGCCAAAAGTCCTTAAAACCCGATTGAAACCTAATAATTTATAAAAAAATTATAAATAACTAAATAAATTTCTTAAATCTATGGGTAAACCTAGAAAACTAAAAACGTTTTGCTTCCCCTACAAAATACATAGGTCTTCAAAACTGGTGCATTACACATACAGGGTGTTTCTTAAGTAGACGTTAAATATCCAGCGGCATATTCTGTGGCCACAAATAAGTTTTTTTTTGTTATATAAATGTAGGGTCTTAGGACAGCCATTGTCCAGCTACAGCCTATCAAAAATTAAAAATCAGTTTTTAATTTTTAATTTTAAACCGCTTGAGATAATTTAATCAAATTCGGTGTGCGTATTTAGTATAATAGTAGCGCTATGAAACAAAAAATTACCAGCTTTAGGAACTTACCAATGGCGGAGGTGTGGGTATCATCGATCATTAGGTACTTGCCAAAAACAAAATGTATCACCTTGTTTAATATTACAAATAAAATAGGTCATCATATGCCTATTGTATTATCTTCATTTCTTATTTCTTTACACTTTTTTGAATTCCAAATCAATTAACAACAAGATTGATGATTTGATTAAGTGAATTTTTACAATACTCATTACATTACTTAAAATAATAACAAAATAATTAATTTTGATCTCTACTTAAGGAACACCATGTATAGTTAGTTGCACTGTGTTAAACTTTTATTCTGGTTCCGATAGATATATTTTTTCTTTTTTATTTAAAATTCATTAACATAAAATTTAATATTTTGAATTTATACTAATTTACTACTACTGTTTTTTTTAACATAGTGTTTTAATTTTCAAAATTAAAGTTTAACTAAATAAAATATTTTAATAAAAATTTCCAATATTTTCTTGGTTTAACCAAATTTTTATACATTTTTCAAATTTCTAGGGGGGGCAGCTGATTTTTCGAACTATAAATGCAGACCTTGGTGTACAAAATTAAAAAGAGCCAAAAATGAGATACGCAAATGTGTTATTTCATTTTTTGTTTTTAAATTTACCTCAAGTGGGACACGTGATTAAGTAACATTCAAAACGTTTTTCCGTATACAAAGATAATAGATACATACTTAATACTTACAAAAATAATAATATTTAAGGTAATCGAATGATCAGAACAAATACTGAACACATAAAGTCAACACGGATGAGGTGCAAGACATGTAACTTGTTCCGTACTTGCACCAGTGTATATGCTTTTATTTTATAGATATACAGATTTCATATTTGCATCAAACGAATTTTTAAAACCTATATCCGGAAAATATCATTTTTCAAATAACACTGGTTACACAATTTTAACTTTTTCTGTAACTGTAACACGAACGAAATAGAGTATTATTTACTAATTCGCATCTGCTGAATAAGAAAATCCCATTAACTAAATATTGAGTGCAAAATAAATGATTAATTAACTTGTTGAAATTAATTCATTTCGTGGGGCCTCCTTCTGTCCTGGCTGAGACCTGCTGCCGCCGGCTAAGGCCTGTTTTCCTGGCGATCACGCTCTTCTGGAGTATTTAACAGGCCCCTATCAACTGTGGTCGAGGTTACAGAAGTAATATGTAAGTGGTGCCATCTTCAGGCGCTACTCAAATTACTCGAAATTAATATACATTTACACTCGCACAAATACACGAGATTACGTGAACAATTTATTTAAGGAGTACTTATATTTAAGTGAAAATATTCAGTTTTAGTTTAAATATAATCACAAATGAGTAAAATGATCAAAATGCCCAATATTGAGTGAAAATGTACTCAATAATTTCACTCAATGAATTCACTCCGAACGTTTATTGCTTTCTCTCACACCGATTTTTTGCAGTGTATCAAGATACCTGGTGTAATTGTATTTTCTTAAAACATTACGAGGATGGGAAAAAATATATTTCATTTATATTAACAATAACTATAGCTCTATCGTGAAGACGTATCTGGAAAATCTAAAGAATTGGTAATAGGTTTAAAATTAGAACTAATTTTATCAAAAATTCGACCAAAAATGACATTTTGTTGCTGAAATTTTGAGGACTTTTAAGTATTATAATCGGGGATCATTGACATTACATTACATAATTAGAAATGACGAATTTCTTTAAAAATATAGGAATATGTATGAAGAAAACGATTATGTTATTTAATGGGATTTGGGAAACAAGTAAATCGGTAAAAAAATATTCTAAAAAATGTCTTGTTTATTTAGATGAGCGGTATAAATGGGATAAATAAATTATGATATTTACTGTTGCAGCTTCAAACAAACAATATATTTTCATTAATTTGGAACGTATACCTCAAAAATAAAGTGTTTCCGATTTTTTTTGTTATTAAAGTTTGGCCAAGTATTTTAGTTACATCCTTTATATACTCAGTGGTAATATCTTTGTACTACAAGTCATTCAAATTATAATTTATTACAACAATCTGATAATAAATAACAATATATCTAAAAGAGTAAATTAACTATATTAACAATACTTATAAATGCAATGTGGTTCAAAAAATAATTATCTTGTTATACTGTTGTCCCAGCCTGAGCTTTTTTGTCTTTCATCAAAGGTGCAGAGCCTACGATCCTTCTGTTTTTCGTGAAGGCAATAACACCTATAAAAATCCCCGAAATTATGATCCAAACTCCCGCTTGGTAAAATGACTGGTCCCAAGACTGGGTAATATCAAAAATAAGACCTGAAAAGAGAAATTAATTTTTTATGTACCATCGAATCAAATCAAATTCTTAACATTTCATATGAAGAAAGTTCATAGTTATATACCTACAGGGTGTTAAAAAAAGAGTGTAAAATATTTCAGGAGGTAATAGTATGAACCAAAATAAGCAGAAAAGTCTTAATAAACATGGGTCCGTAAAGTAACGGTTGCGGAGATATGGACCACCATTCGTTTTTCAAACATTTTATTTTATTAGGAATAAACCGACAAAGGAAGCTTTTAACAAACAAAGTTACAGAAGATGTTTAAAGTGCCCTCCGTCCATTTCCAAGCAGGCACGACATCTTCGTCTCAACGATATTCGAACTTTTTCGAAAACACCCCCCTTGGTTTGGATTTCTTGACACTTTTGATTAATCCGTAGCTGCAGCTCTTCCAGGCTATTTACAGGAGTACCATACACTAATGGCTTCAAATATCCCCAAACAAAGAAATCTAGAGGGTTCATATCAGGCGATCTTGGAGGCCATAAAACAGGTCCGGCCCTTCCTACCCATCTATGTGGAAAAGTTTGGTGTAAATGCTCTCTAACGGCCATGGAAAAATGAGCTGGAGCACCATCATGCTGGAACCACATTTGTTGCCTCTGATTCAAAGGAATGTCTTCCAAAAACTCATACAGTGTGTTCTGCAGAAAGTTGAGGTATGCAGCGCCTGTTAATCGGTTTGGTAAAACAACAGGACCTAGAAACCTGTCACCTACAATACCCATCCAAATGCTTACTGAAAAACGTGCCTGATGTCCAGATTCTATTAGAGCATGAGGATTTTCGTCGGCCCAAATATGCGTATTGAGAAAATTAAACACTCCATTTCTTGTGAACCCGGCCTCATCAGTAAAAAGAATGTTTGCAAGAAAACGAGGGTCTTCAGCATCATGACGTAGAAACCAGCGACAAAAAACCAAACGTGCTTGATGATCATTTATTGGATTTAAGGCCTGTACTCGTTGCACATGGTACGGATAAAGTAGTTGCTCGTGAAGGATTCTCCAAACAAGGGGACCACTAATTCCTACCTCGGCTGATAATCTCCGCACACTCGTACCTGGATTCTGCTCTACCAGTGCTAGAATTTCGTATTCTGTTCTAGGAGTGGATACCGCCCTTGGTCTTTCGGATAAATGGCACTGTTTGCTCAAGGAACCGGTATCACGCAATCTTTGGTGAATTCTTCCAAACATGCGTTGTGAAGGAATCTGGCGATTTGGATAAGCGTCAACATAAAGACGTCGCGCTTCGGTGGCGTTGCCATTAGCACGACAGTACATGAAATGCATGTCTGTTAATTCTGCGTTAGAGTAACCAGCCATAGCGAAAGAAAACTTGTGCACTGAGAACAACTGTCAAATACGTACTGTTTATTTCACTAAACATCAACCAACTATTATAAGAAAATACACAACGTTTTTGCAAAATAAAAAAGGGACTAAAAAACATAAAACATTCCATATCTCCGCAACCGTTACTTTGCGGACCCATGTTTATTGAGACTTTTCTGCTTACTTTGGTTCATACTATTACCTCCTTAAATATTTTACACTCTTTTTTTAACACCCTGTATAAGCTGTTCAAAAACTTCAGCAGTGAGCAGACAGTCACCAGTAAATACATATAAGTAGTAGATTAATGTAATGTGTTTTATCAACAGGAATAGAGCGCTGTGAATATTAGCTAATAAGATATGTATCAGAACTGATTCCGTTTCACTATTTTGTCTTGGATACTAAAATTCCACTTTTGATATAAGCAAATAGGTCAAATTTAATAATTTTAATAATAATAAATTAATAATACTTAATTTTTTAGCGTGTTTTACTGGTTCTGTAATAAATACCAACAAATGAACATTTATTGGATATTTTGTTCAATTATTCAGTATTATCCATCCTAAAATGTGCCTTTATATTATAAGATAAAAGTCAATATCCAATAAATTAGTGGGGTGTTCATAATATTTATTCATTAACATGTCATTTTAAGTTTGAACAAGTCAATGACCAGTTACTACTAGTTACTTATTTTTACTGGATATTTTTAGCGGAAGATTAAAACAATAGTTTAAATATTTTTAACAATTTGGATATACTGAATAGAAAGAAGGGGAAATAGAAATAGAAAGAAGGGAATGAAACCGAACAGAAGACTTACAGTAAGAGGGGGGAAATACTGAAGAAGAGTGGTGATAAATGAGGAAACATTAGAAAAGTTGAGGAGAACAGAAGGCTGTCAATGAGAATAGGAAAAGTGAGGACGAACCTAAGAAGGAGACTGATGATGATAAAGGAAGAAAGGTTGAAACTGTGGATAGAAGGGGGACTGAAAACAAGATTGAAAAGCAGACCGTAAATGATCCTGATGATCCTCCAAGAATGGGGTGTCAATAATAAAAGCAAATTAAAAACTTCAATGCCTTTTACGTTGATTTCTAGGAAATGGAACAAATATTTCCACAGTAAAAAGAAAAACAAAAATGATAAAATGGAAGAGATCCAGATGAAAAAGAAATAATGAAAAATAGACCAAGGTCTTACAGCACTTAACTAGTAGTAATAAGAAATGTCAATATTTAACTAACATACACCATATCCAAAACTGAAGCAAAGGTGTTTGAAGATAATTAACATTTTCCGAACAAACATATCAAAAGAGAAGGTAGTAATTATGAAGTTACAACTATGGTTACTACAAATGTATTGTATAAAATTCCGAAACCAAATAAAATTAATTCAAGAGGATTTTGTGATAATAAATATCCCGTTTATTAAAAATAAAAATTGTGCAAAAATACCTAAATATTTTTTTAGTGTTTATTCACAAGACGTGGGTCTATTTATATTTCAAATATCCTCTTAAAATTTATAAACGCCCTTTGTAGATTGTTTCAGAAAAACTTAATATTTCCATAACTAATCAACATACACAGTATCTCGCGTAAGACGGATTCTTCCAAAGTTTAAATAATATCAATAACACAAAAATTGTATTGTTTATTATTTAGTACCACAAAATTCTGACCATACAATATACAGATATTGTCAAAATTATTTTTTAAAGTTAATTTCAAAGCCCAGCATCTTAAAAACAAAAGACGGTATAAGACTATACAACGCTCTATTGCCAGTAGGACATCTGGTATGTTTTTTCTGAAACACACTACAGAATAACCATTTCTAGCTATAACAGAAGTTATATTGGAAACATCTTTCCTTATGGAATCTTACCTGCTAGTGGCGGACCAATCAAGTTCCCAATTCCTTCACAAAGAAGTCCTAAACCAAAGGCCATGGTGAAGCTTTCCAACGGGACCAGAGTACTCAAAAGGGCAGGTGATAATGAAAAGCAGCTGGCGAAAAACAGTCCAAACAGACCGCAATTTATCACTAGCAGTATGTAATTGGTTGTAAAGTATATCATGGATAACACACTGACCCCACAAAGTATCAAGCAGACGCAATACGTTTTAGCTACATTGAATCGATCCCCTACGATTCCAAGGAATACCTGAAAAAACAAAAAAATATGTAAGTTAATTTCTTATCTCTATATATACAGGGCGTTTCAAAAAAATTGGTCAAGCTGGTAGCCACAGATTCTGTGGGTGAAAGTAATGGAATTTTTCTTGTCATTTTTCATAAGTCAAAAATCTGCAAAACAATATGAAACAGCTTATAACGACTTCAAAACGTGATATACTAAAAAGAAAATTAAAAAGACATTTGAAAATGTGTTACTGGTATGTTTTGAATACATAGTCGTGAGAGTCAACGTATTATGTGTTAAAAGATTCATTGTTAAAGAAAAAGAATCTCATAACTATTGCCCTACTAAAAGTAAATCAGATGGATATTTATTGTCCAAAAAAGTGTAAGATTTCTTTCACGTTACATGAGGATGTATTAGTTTTTCCTATTATGATATTTTTTCAGGTTATTTAAAAAATAATAGGTACTAAATATGAAGGTAATAAATATAATTAGAAGACACAGACACATACAACGTTTCCGAAAAAATAAATTTTGTTTTAAAAATATAAGCACTTATTCACTGTGAGCTTCGCAGGTATCGCCACCTAGCGGTTTTATAGCTACAACTTCTGTCGGAAATTTAAAGTGACATAGTATTGAAAGAGTATATACCAAATACAAATGATAGTTAATACTTTTTATTTAATTAACGTAACAAAGAAGTTATTAGATCGTAGTCTATGAATAATATCAGTAAGTAAACAATTTTATTCATTATAATTATTATTTTTAAGATTTTGCACTTCATTTTGTGATTATGTTGACTGCGAATATTAGAATAGGAGAATTTACCCTCCAAAATTTAATTATACTTGCAATAAATAAACAAATAATTAAAAGTATGGCTTAAATAGCAATGTTTTTTATTTATTTATTTATTTTTCTAGTTTTGGAAAAATTAGTATTTCAATCAAACAGTGATCAAATGACTACTACAAATTACATGACTTTTTTTAGGTAACCATCCTGGCCCATGATTAAATGCTTTACCTACGACAACATAAAATTTTAATTATTATTTAGATAGATTTTAAACATTAATTTTAATCCACATGTCACAACTTGCATTTTTAATCAATGTCTATTTTATAATTGAAGGTTATATTTACTTACTTTTTTCTAATTGCATCAATTCATTTTTGTCGTTGACCCAGTTTATGAGTAGCTTTAGGGAATTTGTAAAATACACAGTCACTATTGTAACTGGTGTTTTTACAATCTTTGATACAACAACTTGTAAAATTTAAAAAATCCTTATGCAGAAGACTTTTAAATTTCCGACCTAAGTTCACTAAGTTGACGCTACTAGCGCTTGCAAATGTTTGACTATCCCCTCTACCTACTTGCTCACAGCGAATAGGACACTGCCAAAAAATGGAATCAGCGTGAATGAAACCTTTCAAAACATAGATTTTGAATAGAGGAAGGTAGGAAACCGCATGGAAATTTTTCTGCATTTAAGACCAAAAGTAACCAGTGGAAATCAGAATTGTTTTAACTGGAACTGAAAATTGCTTTATTATTCAGAAGTTATAGAAATTTGATCTTGCACCAATTAGTGAGTGAAGATCATTGACATTTGAGTTGGCAGAATTAAATTAAATGGCCTACAGAGCATTGATAATGAAAATAATGATCCAGAGGATGATGTATTGATAAATATTCTTATTTATTAAGAAACTTCTGGTCATAATGGTCAAGATTTCGTGAAGACTATACTAAATATATAAAAACTTCTAACTACTGTGGCAAAATAACGCAAACAAATAAGTTTCTCACTATCTCTCCCTTATGTTAGTTACTATCTGTCAAATCCATGAAGATATAGTGATGCTACAAATTCCTTGTAAATCCAATTTGTTGTATTTGTAAACCCCCCTTTGAATGAATGTTTTATCGTCATTGGATTGTTCAATAAAGAGTTGCTGACAAACGTCAACACGATTTTTTTTCTGTTGTTCGGTCATCAAACGAGGAATAAATTTTGCTGCAACTCAATGCATGTCCAATTTTTCAATAAAAATTTCATGGCATGACGCAATTGAGATGATGAACTCTTTTGCAATTACTCTAACAGTCAATTTGCGATTTGTACGCGCCAGATCCTTGACTTTTTGAACGTGAGAGGCATCTGTTGAAGTCGCAGATGTTCCTGGTCGAGGATCATCTTCAATTGACTGACGACCACTTTTAAATCAAGAAAAACATTCGTAACATTGCGTACGACTCAAAGCATCCTCTTCGTAAGCTTCTTTCAACAGTTGAAATGTTTTCGTGAACATTTTCCCCAGTCTCACGCAAAATTGTATGTTGCGTCGTTGTTCCAAAAAATCGCACATTTCAAAAATCGTTACAAATAATTAAATACGTTGCACTCAAATGACAATATCACGAAAACTAAATGAGATATCAACAATCCAAAACCATGTGGTTACAGAGGAGGTTCTGCGCAACGCAATGCTGCTATCCGCGTATTACTAAATATCTCCATTAGCGCGTAATTCAAAAAGTTCGTATATTTTCTGAACAGATCTCGTATACACAAACGGATGTATAGTGTAAATAAGTTAATTTAATTATTTGAGGCACGAAGCTAGTCTAGTTCAATATTTGTTTTCTTACCATTCCAACGGTATTTGTAAAGCCAATAACAGAAATTGCGAAAGAAGCTTGTTGTTCAGTGAAACCAATCCTTGTCATGTGCTCGGCTAGATAGAAGTAAGGTACAATGAACCAGGTGAACAGAATAATCGTTGATAACGACTGCATCAGAAAATGTAGTTCTAGGAACAGGGAGAAATTGGCCAGGTTTTTTAATATGTCCAAAATTTCATCGTACCATTTCTGAAAACAAGTAGACTTGAGTATAAGGTGGAAACTAAAAAAAGTTTGTTTACACAGGGGTGTACCAGATAAGATACTCCTCGCAATTGTGTTTTAAACTAAAAAAGATCTCTTTTATTTTATTCGTATAACGATTAATTTTCGGCTTAATATTTTTGTTAGTATAAAATAAACTTACTACTTGTACATAGCTGAATAATAAGAAAATAACCCAATAACTATTCGCTTCACAAAAAACATGTATGGAATTTTTTTGTTGCAAATACAATTTTAAATAATCGTAGAGAAAAAAAAAACTTGGACACACATTTATGCGTTTTCCGGACTTTTAATAATTACATTGATTTAGAACCGTATTTACATTAAAAATTTCGATACATTTTTTTGTAATAGGAACAGTTTTAGAATTGTTTTCGGTTTATAGAAAGAACTATGTGATAAGTTTATTTTATGATAATTTTTTTAAATACAATTGCGAATTAAAAAATGAATTCCAAAACACTCAATGAGCCGAAATTCTGGAATTTTTAGAGGGTATTTCCTAGTATCCGATTGTTATATTGCATTTAATTAAATCATTTTTTTTTCAGGTGTCCCAAAATTCATGCAAGATTTGATTTTTGCATCATTTGTGTGGTAAAGTGTTGCCAATGAAAAAAAAAGTTCAGCTGGTGATTCAGGGTTACCGAAAAAAAGCGGAGCTCGAAGAACAATGCGTTTTCATTGTTGAGCAATATTTTAAAAATAACGCTGAAAAAAGTTTGTTAAACCAATTTTTCTCGAAAACGATTACTATTTCGATATAAAACTACATCACCATTTTTAATAGAAAACTGAGATCTATCAAATTTTACAGCCCCCCACCTTGCTTGCAACGCCCATTACAAAAATTTCCAAGTTTATTACAATGTACAATGATATGATGACATCTCAAAATCATAATGGTACATGTACCCATTTCAGCTATTCAAGAATTTTTTTTTAAATTTTATTAAGATAATATAATGAAATGTTTAAATCCGTTTTTCTCGGAAATGGAGGCTTTTAACGAAAAAAACAGAGAACACTTTTTTTGTACACGAAATGAAGGTCTATCATACGTTGGCATCTGAATTTGAAAATTTCGACAAGCAAAAAAGTACGGACAAATTTTTGCCGACGACCCCGACCCCCCCCCCCAACAGAGACGTCCCTGACTAAAATTTTTGAAAAATATTATAATCTATTTCGACTTTTAATGAGCGTTCATGGTGTCAAAATTTATAATTTTCTTCAACCCATTTAAGAAATATTAAAAATATGAATATTTTGGGTCCCCATTTAGGGGGGCGTAGGTCCTTTAGGAAGCATTTCTCGACCCATTATTATATGAAAAAGTGTTCTTATTTTTGGCAATGGAATCAAGTGGTAAATTATTGGACACTAATTATGAGACACCCTGTATATTTGGATATGGAAAATATTTATCATATACAGGGAGTCTCATAATTAGCTGCCAACCCTGAACAGGCCGATTCTATGATCAAAACTAAGTAAAAAAGTTCATATTAACATGGGTCCGGAAATGCTTCCTAAGGGCACAGGGACCCATTGAAGAGGGAGGAATGGAAATCATTTTTTTGCAATATCTCTCAATTGCGTTGTGATAAATGAATGAAATTTGGTATACACAGCTAAATTTTGATGTGTAATTGGATGGACTAATCCATTTATTTCCACAAGGTTCATTGGGGTGGGTACGGGGGGGCCCTTGGTACTTTGCGTGTGTAACTTTTTCATCTTTGACTTTTTAACAAATTGGACAGCAAATTCCGTTTTCCCGAACTGTTTTACGTTAAAAAGGTACGCTTGTTTCAAATCGTTATCTTTAACGGTTTCTGAGAAAATCGCTCTTGAATTAATCCCACTTTGGTCAATTTCATAGTAATTTAAATAAAAAAAAATTTTGTTTAAATTTAATCTAATTTTAATAAAAAAATAATAATAAAAAATTAAATTAAATAAAAATTAATCCTTTAAATGGAAAAGAGAGGAAAGGAAAATTATTATTATTTTTTGTTTAAATTACTATGAAATTGACCAAAGTGGGATTAATTCAAGAGCGATTTTCTCAGAAACCGTTAAAGATAATGATTTGAAACAAGAGTACCTTTTTAACGTAAAATTTAGCTGTGTATACCAAATTTCATTCATTTGTCACAACGCGATTGAGAGATATTGCAAAAAAATGATTTCCATTCCTCCCTCTTCTATGGGCCCCTGTGCCTTTAGGAAGCATTTTCGGACCCATGTTCATATGAACTTTTTTACTTAGTTTTGATCATAGAATCGGCCTGTTCAGGGTTGGCAGCTAATTATGAGACACCCTGTATATATTTTTTAAATTCCAATACCGTGTATATCAAAAACCAGTGGCTTGATTCATTAAGCTTTTTTTTATCTAAAATGAACTACTATGATATAGACTTAGAAAACACTCTGTAGAATATATGAAAACAAAATAATGAAATTGCTATATTTGTAGATATCTCTGTAAACAGAGAAACGTTATACACAATATTGCAATTAAATTTGTTAGTGACGTCTGTCTTATCTTGACACGTTATCTGTCTGCCATATGCTGCAATATTTTAGTTTTATTGATTAAAGTCATTGTAAAGTCACACTATCTGTATCATATCTAGCTGTTTTCACTGAACTTACATTCTTCTAAAAGGTGTTGCAAATTATATATAAGGTGCTGCAACATAAATTAGTATAACAGATAATATTGTTAAGCCAATTTTCTAGTTGTATGAATATAAAAAAATCATCGCTATCATATTTTACTGAACACAAATAAATGATTATTTTATTTCATTTTACCTCATCTTTACTTGCGTCCAGTGTTGTTAATCTATAAACATTAGGACAACTTAAAGCCCTACCATTGTCTTTATGTATATTCAACATCACTCCCCGACAACCAACGGAATTCCTTCTGAGCCTTATGTTCTTGAGGTAGCTATGCGAATGAGGTTTACTTTCAGTCTTATTTTTTGTACTGGCATTTGTTGAAGCACCTCCCTTATTACCCGACGTTTCGGCTTCCTCTTCGTCCTCTTCATTAATTTTGGGAAACACTGGTTTCTCATTATCTTTCAAATTGTTCGCTCTAGTTGGCTTGGGCGAATGGAACGTGTAGAGACCTTTTTCGGAAGTGCTTTTACAGGTCAATAGACTAGGATTATGCTGCACGATGTAGTTGTAGAGTTGTTCGTTTTCACGGAGTTGTTTTAACACTTCTATAGGAACCTGAAGAAGAAACAGATACAGTCTCTGTCAGAAGGTAAGCTAATCTATTCCTCACCTTGTCGTTAAATTTTAGATAAGTGGGTAGATTGACCATGGAAACATATCTATCTTTTGCGTTGGGGTCATTAGCTTGGGAATTTAACAAAGCTTGGATTTCTTCGCCGTTGGCCAACTGTGTTTTTAAGTTGCTGGTTAAAGCAGCGTTCCTCGAAGCTGCGTCCGATCCAGTTTTCTTCTTAAGTTTCTTAAGCTCCTTCTCCCGAGTACTGAGAAAAAAATAAGCGTCTAGGTAAATTATTATCCTTTACATATATTCAGGGTAAGCTGGGGTTATCCTTCTTTTTTTTGATTTTTTACTATACTTATCATTTAATTTTTGTACGCGATAATATTTACGTAAAGTTTGCTTATTTGTAACACTTGTGAAGTGAGATGATAATCCAGAACATTTATTTTTATCTCCCAATAATTTAGAATTGATCGCGGTGATTACAGTAATCCAGTAATAAATGAATCAACTCACTTTGGGAATTCACTTAATCCTAGTACAAATGCGTGATAATAATATCAACAACATAACTATCTCTAATTTATAACTTGCATTAAAAAGTTGTCATCTTTTATTTAATGTAAGTATAAAAAATCGATAATGGTGGACAATACATAACATAGAAAACAACATATGAAGATTGTAGAGAAAAGCTTTCTCTAATTAGATATAGGGGCAATTAAAAAATATAGTAAAAATGTTAATTTGTGACAAATTAAACGTCTATAAAAATATGTGCAATATAGTTTTTCTATAGGAAAATTAGTTTTTTGCCAATATGCAAATCACAATAAAAATGAATTGCACACCTGATAAGCTAAAACAAAATGGCTAAATTAGACAATTACATGAGTTGCGCATTTGTAGAACTAATATTATGGAATTATCATCAACGTTTTTATCTTTGATTAGAAAGAATTGCACAAAATTGATTACTCATCACTTTTAGTAATAAGTGTATTCACGATTTGAAGATAAGGTTCCAATAGTTTTCGAAAACAATTCTTTGAAATTCTATATGTTGCTATTACTCAGTGTAATTGTATCTGAAAAAAAAAGAATTAAAATCACAGCAAACAATTTAATTTTTCTGTATGGATAGGTCAAATTTTTAAAAACAAAAAATGGCTTGTAATGGCTCCACAAATACTACAAACTGGCGCTGTAATTGTTTTCAAGGCCCACTTTAATGGCACGCGATTGTCAATTATTTTCTTAAATAGAACGACCCGTATTTTTTAATTTCATCTGATTTTTTTCCTGAATTCAAAGTATATAATAACCTGACTTCGTGTATCGAATAAAATGATTCTTTTGTAATATTAATTTTATTTCAGAAGCATAGAAGGGAAGAAATATTTACATTACAGGGTGATTAAAAAATTTGGGAACATATACGGCATGAAAAATGGAGTCAATACTGTAAAAAAAAATTTTTATAAAATCTTTATGGTTTCCGAGAAAAAAATCATTGAAGTTGTAGTACTTTCCACCATTACATCGCTGGACAACTGTAGTCTCTAGAGTCATTCGTTTTCTGCGCTTTACGCAATGCGCGTGGAGGGCCACTTGGCCCCAGCGACTCCGAATACCGAAATCCGATTTTACAATTAGTATTAACGTCATTGCGATAGTATTTACAATAGTTTTTTAGTAGTTAGTGTCAAAAATAGCTTACGCGTATAGCAACTTGGAGTTGATGGATATCGTTTTAATTTATGGTGAAGCAAGACAACATTTGTATTAGTTCGTAGAAACTGTGTAAGACGGGTCTAAATGTGTTTACACGTCGGTGGACAAAATTTTGAACAATTGTTGTAAAATCAGGTGTTACAAAGTAGGTGTTATAAAATTCTATTTATTTCTTTCCTTGCGAAATTCTTTCAGGTTTTACAGTGGATCAGTCTCCAGTACCGTGCAGAAGTGTATTTTTAAATCATTTTCGTACTGCCTTTTCTGATTTTTTTTTTACAAAATTGTAGTTGATAGAGTAATTTTTTTTGGATAAATTCTGAATCACCCTGTATATGCGCACGTGATACTTAATGTTTTCACCTTAAATTAAATGTTGAAACGCTCAAATTAATATTAATGTGTATTTTGCATATCTATCTCGTAAATCTCAAGTAAGTTCGAGGCAATAATCAAGTTGCTTGCATAGTTAGATTCAGAAAAATATTCTCTACCGGAAACAGTAAAAAAAATATATCGTTATATTAAACAAAAATTTTTACGGTACCGTTCATACACAGGGTGTGACATCGACGTTGCGACAAAATTTGGAATTAATTTCTGTCGCCAAAACAAACAAAGAAACAGGAGTGATGTTTTTTACAATACTGCAGATACACAAAAACCAACGAGGGTATACATATAGGGTGGTCCCGAGGTAAGGGCCAAATTTCATTACCTTGGGACCACCCCGTAGATCTCAAATAATAACTTGTGTCTTTTGAGTTTTATTCCGATACCATTCTCAAGTAAAGTCCCAAATGCATAACAATGTTAGCAGTGGAGCATAGTGGAAACTAGTATAATATATAAAAACTTTTGAACAAATTAATTTATTTGAATGAAATATAGCTAGAAGAATTGATTCTATTTTTCATAACTACGAACCTTAATTTTGAGAAATTAGAACAGAATTATTGGGTTTTGTCTATAGTAGGTATGTTGCTTACGAGCTTCTAATGTTGTATAGTTTTCGGATTTAGTTGTAAGGGGTACATTTTATGTAAAAAAAATTAAAATACATAAAAGCTTTAACTGGAATAAATGGATTTCGTGCCAAGAGAAAAAATTATAAAAAAATGTTGTAGAACGTAGGTATCTCTTTTTCTTCGAATTTTAGATAATAGCAGATTTTAGAATAGAATTTAAGAAAGTGTATGAGATAATTTTCAGATTGTTCCTAGGCAAATAGCTTAAATGAACTCAATTGAATTAAATTGAGAAAAGTAAAATTTCTATTCCATAAATACAGGGTGTCCGAAGAAGTGTAGAAACTTTAAAAAGAAAAAAAGTGTATATGTATAAACTGTGCTTTGGAAATGTATTTTTTTCAAGATTTTTTTATTTACCAATGACGTAGATATAAAAGAGGTAGACCTTTTTGTGATCTCTAATTTCTAGGCGACATTTTTGAATTTTTTAAATTTTTTATACATTGTTAAAACTGCATGTTATCGAAAGAATGTTAGTTATGTAAAATTTTCGTAATTTCATAGATGTTGAAGTAAACTGCATAATAATGCCTACATTTTATTATTGTTTTACGACAGAAACTAGTTTTTCAAAAGAATTTGAGTTAATAAATAATGAACGTAAAAATTTAAATAAATCTTGGAGAGATTATCACATTAACATTCTGTATATTTCTACATATTTGATTAGAATATGTAGCATTACAGTATATAAGATTTGTTAAATCTGTCTCTAGTAATAAGAAAGATATGAACAAAAGTGTCTAGTTTATTGCTATATCATAATTTTTTAACCATCTCTTCCTTATTATTAGAGATTGATGTGTCAAATCTTATATCACTGAAATATTAAACGAGCGCTTTATCCAAATATGTGAATATACAATGTGTTCTGTCAAAACAAAAAGTTTGACTTTTATCTCTGATGAAATGCAACAATCAATTGTTTCTGTTTTGTAATTACACGAAAATTTTCTACAAGTTTGGCCCATTCAATTCATGTTTTTTTTTTGTGTACCAACTCTGTTCAGTTTTGAACATTCCTTTATCTAATTAACTGAAATTCATTTAAAAATTTATCGCCTCTATTGTAAGAAAAAAAAATAAAGAAGAAATCATTAATATGACATTTACTTCAATATCTATGAAAATGGTTTAAAAAATCATACGCGTAGTCATATGGCACTGATGACTGAAAGGACTATAATTCTCTATATATTAAACTTGATTTGTTTTAAAAAAGTCGATGGCTCATATCTTGCAAATGATACTTTTCGGGACTAACATTGATGGAATCCATGGTAACAAAATGACGAATAAAAAAATACAGAATACAGAAGAATACAATTTTAGTAAATGTTTAAATCTATCTGCCGTAAAAATAAATCTAGGAATTTTTTCATATTTGATATTTTGGAAGTCACCAAGAATTAACAATTAAATTAAAAAATTAAATTAATTAATTCAAATTCAAATTTAATTAATTAATTCAATTAAAAAAAATTAAAAATTTATTTTGGATTTCTTTTTTTTATTTATCACTCACTCTGCCTCCGTGATCCACTCCGGGTCTCTCATAAGCATGCCACACACGCACATGTTGGCGACGAAGCCCGCAAACACTAGCAGAGTCCCCCTCCACCCGTACTCGTTCAACAAAAAGATGCTGATTGGTGGAAAGATGACAGTTCCGAGCCCTGCGCCACTACCCTGCAGCCCAAGAGCGACGGTACGTCTCTTCTCGAACCAGAAGGCTATGGCCACCACGGCGGTGACGTAGGTCAGACTCCTGCTGAGACCGCCGATGATGCCGAAGGTGAACATCATGACACCTATGGAGTTGGCTACGGCACTGAGCATAAAGCCTATCATACATGTGATACCGGCTAATACGGTCATGTATTTGCAGCCATATTTGTCCACCAGGGCGCTGGCCAATGGACCTGAAAGGAAATATTTCTTGAATCAATAATAGCTATTTATGATACAAGTGCTAAAAGTGACAGCTTTCTACTATACAGGGTGTCCAAAAAGTCTGGAAACACCTGAATAATTTCCCAGGTAAAATATTTTTGAAAAATGTCATTCTGGAAGTGGAAGGTCATTCTTGTAATAACTTTTCACGAGGAATTCAATGGTAACCTTGGATTTAACCTTGACGGTGACATTCAAGGTTATTTCAAGGTCACCTCCATTTTTTTAAATGGAAACCCCCTTTTTCGACGTCGGCAATCGAAAGAGCGGGAAATTTTACGTGCAAATCCTCTAAGGTCATAAATCAGGGCTGCTCTTGAAGGTCATTCAAAGGTATTTAAATTTGACGGCTGGATATCCTCGAAGGACGCAGTTGTTCAAAGTATTACAAAGCTCACTTTAGTTATTTTGTTTAATTGCAATTAGTGGAGACCTCAAACTCGACTTTCTTGGTGCCCTTTAAGGTCATTTCAAGGTCAATTTTTTTACTGAAAATCTACTCATGTAACGTCGGCAATCAAAAGAGCGGAAGTTTTCGTACTTTTACTTTTAGCGTTCCCTTTGGGGTGCTTTATTATCGTGAGTCCCCTTGCCTCTCACATTTGGGGTACTTCATTATCGTGTGTCTGCTTGCCTCTCATGTTGGGGTGCTTGATTATCGTGAGTCTGCTTGCCTCTCATGTTCGGTTGCTTGATTATCGTGAAAAAAAAAATGACCTTGAAATGACCTTAAAGGACACCAAGAAGGTCGAGTTTGAGGTCACTACTAATTGCAATTAAACAAAATAACTAAAGTGAGCTTTGTACTATTTTCATCAACTGCGTCATTCAGAGATATCCAGGCCTCAAATTTAAATAAGCTTCAAGGTCAACCCTGATTTATGACCTTAGAGTTTTTGGACGCAAAATTTTCCGGTCTTTCTGTCGACGTCGAAAAAGGGGGTTTCCATTTAAAAAATGCAGGTGACCTTGAAATAACCTTCAAGGTCATCGTCAAGGTCAAATCCGAGGACACCATTTAATTTCTCGTCAAAAGTTACTACAAGAATGACCATAACTTTTCCAAAAATAATTTACCTGGGAAATTATTCAGGTGTTTCCAGACTTTTTGAACACTAGGTATAGTATACAGCATTTTATTTTTATCACTAGTGTTTTTGACACATTACATTATAAAAATCAATTTTTAGTTCACTTATGAATGAATTAAAAATGTAAATTTTAATGACAGTTTTGCAAAAATTAATTTGTTACTATGTATGTAATGTAATGTATACAAAATGAGGCATTAGTTTTACGAGAAAGTGCTATTTCTTTATTATTGCAACAGTTGAGTATAGGGCGAGTCAAAACTCGAGATCATAATTTTCTCAATTTTTTTAAATTCATTTACCATTTAATAACAAAAATAAAGTTTTAAAAAAATTCATATTATAACAAGTTGGTTAATATCATAGACTTCTAATAAATCTATGGTTAATATTATCAGAATTTTTTAAAACTCTCTTTTTGTTATTAAATGGTAAAATATCTCAGAAATTAATGATTTTAGCTATAGGGAATGCTTTATAAAAATGAAAGTATAAAGTGTATTTTCAGTTTTTAAAATAAAATACAGGGTGATTCATTTTAAAAAAATGAGAAAATTATGTGCTCGAGTTTTGGCTCGCCCTATATTCAACTGTGGCAATAATAAAGAAATTACACTTTCTCGTAAAACTGTACCAATATCAAAAAGTTATGCCTACAAAAAAATATTGTTAAGTTGTTCTGTTTAGGGTATACAGGACGCTGAAATGGGAATGATTCTCGTATACAACTGGCCATAACTTTTGAAATACCCTGTATAACATATTTAAACCCTATATTGGAAGCATGGGAGAGATGAGCTTAATCTAAATTAGAAATAATTTATAGGGTGTCCCATTTGAAAAATAATATGTTTAGTTAAGTTGGCTACAATTTTTGTAAATAACTTTTTTTGATATCTTCGACAATAAGGGAGATGTCGTACTTCGACCCACTAATGTCGCACCCTGCATGTAAGTAATTTTGAGAATAAAAATAAATACTAAAAATTAAAGAATACACAAACACAATTTTGGTGTCTCAAGAAAAAATTGCTTATAAATATTTCAAAATGAATATATGTATGTATTTAATAATTTTTTAAAATTTTGTTCACAAATGTCAAAACTCCAATAAATAATATAAAAAAATATATATCGAAAGCATTTTAAGTACAGTACAGTTTCAGGTGAATCTGAAATAATTGAATAAAATAACATTTGTCAAAACAATAGTAATGATTCATTGAATTACTTAAATGTTATAAAAAATGTCGAGATTATTTAAAACACTTCACTCGGATTCAATTGTATTAAAAAATATATACAGTATGAATAGTTAATCCCATGTCAACTGTAAGCCTCTGTACTAAAATTTTAGGAAAAGTAATTGTTTACAATTACATAAATCATTACTTATCATTTTAAGCTATATTAATCAGTGCTGTCAATTTCCCCACGGTCATTTTTGTAAATGACTGATATATCTATTAATTTTAAACAGTTGTAATTTTTATGTACATAATAATAATATATCATTTGTATAATACGAAATTTAATTGTTTTCAAGATAGTGGTATCAAAGAAAACCATAAATAAAACAGATATATGTATACAATAATTTACACTTTTTATACGTTAATTAAAACTGAATTTGTCGACTTCTTGTTTCTATTACACTGAACAGTTCTGTCCCCACATTCAGCTGACTGACTGACTACTTTTATTTATATGCAATATAGAATTTGTATAACGATTTTCAGCCTTTTAGTTCAATTAAATGGGCCTTTAAATCGCAATTTGGTCAAGTTGCCTGAATTTTTTATATAAGTTAGTTTGAGGTATATAATAACAATAAGTAAAGTTTTTTCAACCCTCGGCCAGGAGTGGAAAAAGATAAAAATAAAGGGGTATTTCAGAATAACTCAAAAGGAGTAAGAGCTAGAATTTTTTTTTTATATAAAAGTAGAGCATACAATTTTACATACTACAATTTCAATTTTTTAATTGTTAATTTTTATGACATAACACTAAAACAATTGTTTTCTATGCCATGCGAATAATTATTTAAAATAATTAAAAGTTGCTTTCGAAATTTTGTTTCACGACAAATATAAAAAATCACGTCCGCTTTTCGAATTGTTATAACTTTTTATTAAAAATTAAAGAATATGTCTATTTCTCTGAAAATATAGTTTACATATTTTAGAGCATATTGAAAAAAAAATTATAAAATCCATTCATGTTTCTGCTTATGATTTTTAAAATTTCTGAAATCATCCCTTAACTTCTAGTGTCCCTAACTCTGTTAATTTTAATAGTACAAGAAAAAGTCAGTACACCATTTTTATATATTGTTTTATGCTCTACAACTTTTATAAGAAACGTTTTTTTCTAGCTCTTACCCCTTTTGAGTTATCTTGAAAAACTTCTTTTAGTATGTTTGTGTACACAACTACTGTAATTAACTATCAAAAAACTAGACAATTTTTTTGCCTCTGTCTATATTTTTTTAAAGACTATCCGATGTCCCAATATTTTTTGTCGAACATTATGTAATTTAAGGGATATCGGACTAAATCTCATATTGATTAATATCTCGTTTGATTGGATTATGATATCAATACAGCACTAAGCTGGGGCTCATATGTGTTAAATATCAATGAGCTTCTCATATGAGACGTTTTGTTACATAATTAAAAATAAACTCAAATGAAAGTAACAAATATATTGAAATAACACAAAATAACTTTATTTCTAATCAAATTATCTCACAACTAGCGGCCCGTCGCGACTTCGCACGGGTGGACATTTATTTTAAATATTTTGGGATATAAAAAATATAGCCTATGTTACTCAGGGATAGTGTAGCATTCTAATGGTGAAAGAATTATCGAAATCCGTCCAGTAGTTTTTGAGTTTATTCGTAACAAATATACATACATACAAAAATACATATCTTTCCTCTTTATAATATTAGTATAGAAGTATAGATATAGATTAGTCTTAGCTTTACGATTTGAAGATCAGAAAAAAAATGACGTTGATGAAAAAATATGTACAATGTATGTGCAATGATGTAATTTCGAATTGTAAAACGTATAAATCGTCAGTTAAGAGAGCTGTTTGAAGATCTTTTGATTAAAATATATTTATATTTCTTTAAATATATCGCTTAATGAGGATTAAAATGTCAAAAAGTAGGCACATCAAATAAGCTATCTACTTGTGTCGAAGAGATGGATTTTTAAAAAGATTTTCTTGTACAAACCAGTTATTACAACATGATTATATCCTGTCAATTAAATCTAAAAATTTTGTTTATTTGTCTTATGATGATTTATTGATATCGGAAGTCCCTGCACTTCTATTTACTTTTTCTCTTAAATAAATTAAGGTCATAGTTGTAACATATTGATTTAATAATAATTTAATAATTTTGTTCTATTAATTTTTTAACTTTAAAGTTATATTTAGATATCTATCACTACTTTTAACTTGTTTTTCTGCTCGTGATACACCGAGAAAACGTTTCATTTGAAAAGATGACCTTTAAAATGTACGAAACCTTCGGTAAAACCTAGATTTGTTGATGCTATCTTTGGATTAAAATGCATTTCACTGAATACTGATGAGGATTAAAGTATCAACAGTCCACTTATTATGGAAAAATATAGATTTTACTGGATTTTCTAGACCAAACCAGTATTAGTTATTAAAACAGGATTACAACAGGATGATTACGTCCAAAAACTTTTTTAAACTGTCACGTAATGATATAAATCTTTAAGACAGATAAGAAACGTCTCCATACATCAATTTACATTGCCAAATACACCTAACTGAACCTTTTAAATGCCAGTTTTAAATTTTCTGGGTTATTTTGAAAGTGCAATAGTGATTTTTCTGTAAAATATTATATATTGTTTGGAAAGCGTTGATTAGTTATTTTCTAATAATAACCAGAACTCTTATTTTAAACAAGGTATTGGATGTATTCTAATACATAAAAAACTAACACAAGATATACAATACAGGTTGATTCTAAATTTTTTTCGGTGTTTTCCCAATACTTCAGAAAATAAGAGTACAGTCCGTACGATATTTGTTGAGATATAATTCCAAGAAGACCCCTGCGTCAATTTCTTGGAATTAACCGCATTAGAAACCCGAGGTAGAAAGACATTGGCGGAGTGGCGTTTACCGTAGCAGCTTATAGTACATACTGTAAGCTGCTACCATTTCATCCCCAACTGTCTTATTTTTACTCTATTATCTAAAATATTGATGTCTTGACTATTAAAGGAAAAATAACTCTAGTTTAGTTTCTGTAAATCGAACAAATTACACCATTATTATCCAAACAGAAAAAAGTTGATATAAAAAGATGCCATTATTTTATGATATACTATCCTACAGGTATGTAAGTATTAATAAAACATTGATTAAACAGATATAGCTTTTTTATAAAAATGATGTTAAATATAGAGACCATTGCATCATATCTACCGACAGAGTCCTAAGAAAATTGATATTAAAATTAATGTTCCTTTTATGATATGTTAAATTAATTTTTGGATCTATATAAAGGGTATTTCATAATGATTTCACCAGTAATACCCAGATATTGAGTTAAAATTAAATAAACAGTAATTAAATAATTATGTAAACAATAAACATATTATGCAATCCTAACGAGTCTACTATCTTTTATGTGAGATTTATTACTAGAAAAAAAAAATGAGTGATAAAATTCATTAAAATGTATTTTTTGTAGTTACTAGATAGAAAAAGAAACTGGTTCAAAGCTAATTTCTAACTAGTGTTTTTTTATGTGCCTTCACTACTATGGAGTTGATCGATAGATGTATAGGGTGTTTTGAAAAAGCGCCATAAATTTAGGGGCTTATAAAATAACAAGGTTTTTTGAAGTCGAATTTTGGTCAACGTAAAAATTGATTTTAATCAAATAACGCATTTTACTCAACTTAAAACAGTTCTATCCTAAACACAGATTTTTTATTAAATAGGTGGATCCTGCCTGACTGCGAATTTCCTGGAAAGTTATTTTTTTGTGATTAATGAATTAAAAAAAAACTCCGAAAATAAGATATATGCCTACTTTGATAGAATGTACTACTAAACGTAACATAAAAAGAGTTATGTCTTAAAAGCTAACTGAGAAAGATCGCAGCTATACTCCAGTCAAATTAGAGTTTGAACGTGAAGGGTGTATGTAGAATCATTATATCAAAAAAGTAACTGTTAATAAGTGACGCTAAGTACAAGTGGCAAATTTACGTGTTTTTCACTTTCTTTAGTGCCCATGAAAATTTAGACGATCTGAACGCGGAAAAAATTATTTTCGAAAATTGCACACTATTATTGCAAAAAGCGATGGACGTTGAAATTTATGGAAAAGACGGTCACTCTAAAGACGTTTATTTTCAAAAAGTTTTGCATTGATAGTTCGCGTAATAAACGAGTTAGCAGCAGTAAAAGTTAACGTTAATGAGCGGCCTTCACGTGGCAGAAGGTTACTATAATCTTTCTGAAAATAAAATTTTAACCCTTTCTTTAATTGTCTCTAAAATCCCGGTCCGATACGTCCAATTAACATTTAACGTTATAAAAAAAGATATCTGGGAAAAAAAGAGGCGTAGGTGATTTCTCTTTTTTTTTTAATTACCATAAAATAAGCTCAATTTAATGCAAAAAGAGCGAATTCCCGAGCAGCTTTTGTCTGACCTTGGGCCAATTTGTTTATAACGCTGTTTTGCACGTCCTACTTTGTTTGTTGTAAAGAGCTACTTACTTAATTTCAACTTTTTAAAATTTTTCTCTTTCGATACGTTTCTTTGGATCAACTAGAACCTACATCTACGATATTAACTTCTAATATTAACGTTTAGTAATTAAAAAAGTAGTTGCAAAAAAACGAATGAAATTAATTAACAAATACACACATGTTGGTCATTGGGTTGATCGTGTTTTCCACATATTTCATCAACATTCATCGCTTTCGCGTCACTTCTTAACAGTTACTTTTTTGATAAACTAGTAATATTAATGTGTTTAGTACCTATTTGAACTAAATTTCAGTACATTGTACTTTATAAAAAACATGATCCATAGGAAAGAGAAATTTTAAGTTCCGACACTGCACTAATTTTAGCATTAAATAAATAAATTGGGGTACCTAATACAAATCTTAAATGTGTATACATAACAATGTACCTCCACACTGAGAAAAGTTTTCTCACCTGCCAACAGTGGTATCGCCATGAAGAGACTTCCAATCCAAGAAGTGACTGAAGCCGACGCCTTAAACTCCTCCAGGAACTCGATATAAAGAAACCCGAAACTGAGGGTGATACCTTCTGAAATCACGTTCAGCATGCAAGCTGCGAAGACGACCCACCAACCCCAACCACCGTCCGGGATCTTCGGTTTCGATTCTTGAACGTGGAGGCTGATCTGGGAGGATAAGATGGACTCTTTCCCTTGGAACTGCCTGTTCAGGTGTACCTCGTTGCCGCTGGGGGAAGCCTTTTCCAACATTTTGCTGCTGTTCGTCATCTTGCAAAGACTTCTTACTTCGTCAACTGATGTGGAACTTCAAATCCGCCTGGGTCCACGTCTTGGGAGAATTCCTCTGCCTTAGTCTCGGGTCTTTGCTACTTCGCTTTATCAATGTGTGGCCAGGTGCAATCTTCGCTCTCATGAATGATTTTGGTTCAGTGCAAGATGCTCCTTTTCTTCGTGAATCGAACTGAAACTACTGAGTATCTTTTAGTTTGAATGGTACATACATTGCTGTACGTCCTCAGCGGATGATAAGCGCAACTGGTTGGTTAACGCGAAATTTATGGAGCTAGAAATTAAGATAAGAGACGAAAATAATGTTAATCCGTTTTGGGTGATAACAGCTGCAGAGGCGGCGGCGAAAACAAACGCTGTTCGTCGAAAAAACCGACACCTCCATTGTACTATTACAGTTCTGGAATTTTTATATTTTTGCCGGAATTTTTTAATCGCATAATGCGATATTTATGTTATTCAAAATATAAAAATATAATGCGCACATTTTTTATTATTAACTTTTTTACTTTGCGTATACAAATCATTAAGTATTAAGTCAATTAAAATTATAATTGATGAAGTGATGTCACTTTTTGAAAACAAATTTATACCTATGCTGAAGAAATAACCTCAAAGGTAACTCTGGCATTTTTATCCAAAAAAACAGAACATACCTATATCAGTCTTTTGAATTGCAATGCAAAAAGGTATTCATCTATATCGCACCGCTGTTTTCAAGAACATTTTTATCTTCACTTATGTTAAAATTTGTTCTTCTCAGATATTTTCCTTAGCTATCAAATTTCAATAGGTCTTTATCACTGCATTAAAAAATTCTGCCACTAATTTTCTTACTAACTTTTCTTATTTTAATCGATATCAGTAAATTGTAAAATAACAAGGCATCACCTTGATTTTCAGAATTTGTAACAAGGTAATCAGCCTATCCATGATCTCACTGTATGTGAATGTTTGTGCAAATCAGCTATATTACCAAATTTCTTGAAAGCGGTGCAAATTATTTAGATCAGATGAAAGTATCTAATCTCTGTTATATCTTAAGTTGGTCTCCCAGAAAAATGAATTATTTCACCTAAAATTTTACAAAAAATTATTTTTTAGATAATAAACTACGCCTGATCTCCGCCACTGTGAATGAGAGAGAAACTATTTCCCCATAAGGTTACTGCAAATGATAATTTGTAGACTTGTGCTGAGTTCAATTCAAAACTGGTCATCATTTTTTAAGCTACATTAAAAATGGAATGCACATTGAAACTGTGATGTAATAACCCCGGACCTTTTTTTCAGTGCTCTTTTTCATAGTTTAATATCACTTTAGACAAATTGTGATTGGCAGTATTGCGTTACGCATAACCTCCTCTGTAGCGAAATGTTCTTGGATTGTTGATATCTCATTTAGATTTTGTGATATTGTTCGTTGAGTGAAACGTGTTTAAGTATTAGTGATGATTTTTGAAATGTGGGATTTTCTGGAACAACGATGCAACGGAAAATTTTGCTTAAAACTGAGGAAAACTTTCACGGAAACGTTTCAAATTTTGAAACAAGCTTACGGAGATGATGCTCTGGGTCGACTGTGATGTTATGAATAGTTTGAAGAGTGTCATCCTTCCTCCAGGAAGACCTTTATTTCATCTGATGGATCCCACATTCAAAAAGCTAAAGATCTGGAGCGTGCAAATAGTCGATTGATTGTCAGAGACATTTCAGAAGAGCTTAGCACCTCAATTGGGTAATGCCATAAAATTTTGATTGAAAAATTGAATATGCATCTCAAGTTGAAGCAAAATTTGTTCATCGTTTGATACTGAACAACAGAAAAAAAATTATGTGGACATTTGTCGGCAACTCCTTGAACAAATCAGTGACGATAAAACATTCATTCAAAGGATCATAACTGGAGACGAAAGCTGGATTTACGACTAGACATTGAGGTAAAAGTTCAATCATCACAATGGTCTGGCAAAGGATTTCCACACCCCAAGAAAGCACGTCAGTCTCGATTCAATGTTTTTTTTTTTAATTCAGGTAATTATTAATGACTAGGTTGTCTGCGAAGTTATTTATTTAACATATCAAGATGTTTATATTAACATGTCACTACATTTGATAACAATTTAAGAAAGATTTTCGAAATAATTTTAATAATTTTAAGTGAAGTAAAAATAATTCTTTCAGCCAAAATTTTTCACATTATTATTCTCAACTTATAACTATTGAAATGGCTTTGATATTTAGTAGTAAATTATAAAAACGTACCTAAATATTCAATGTAAAAATAGAAATTTGGCTATCAAATAATATCTTTCTGAGACATCGCATAGTTAGGAAAAAGAAAAATTGTAGGTACGTTTGTGTACCAATGGGCAACTTGCACGAAAATGTAATTTCTTTTTGAACTGCATACCGACAACTAACAATGGTAGAACATTAATTTATTTAATGCTTAATTAATTAATTAGTTTAACAAATTAATAATGTAGTCATGTAAAAATTTAAATTTTGTGATCAAGAACGTATTCTGACGTCATTTAGTGCGATCGAGAACATAATCTACTTCTTGGTCGTCTGCCGTCTAGTCTACAATTCCCATAAAGAGGAGTCGGAACCAAATCTAAAGGAAAGCGTATGCGGGGAGACTCGAAGCAAAGTAAATTCGACTGTCTCTAGACTCTTCTTATTTGCTACGTTTATACTGTACGACCGTCCTGTCCTGTCCTTGTCATTTTCATCTTTTTCATTCGATTGATCGCACTATATGACGTCAGCAAACATTTTAACATTTATTCACGCTCCAAAATGTAATAATTAGTTAGGTATTAATTAACAACCTCTAAGAGATTTCTATTATTTTCGCCACATGATTATATATGGTTACAGATTATTTATTGAGATTTAAAAAATACCTATATGAAAGTTACCCAGTATCACTAGATAATTTTCGCTGATATCCCTGTAAGTGTGTTTATTATTTACTCTATAGTTTTCTTTTTATATGATTATTTGAATATAGATATCGGTCTATTTATGAGGCAATTAGTAAGTAATTAGGTTTATTCCACCTATAGATACGGTGACCATAATATGTACTTATTTAAGTAGGACAGTACTTACTTTTTAAATAATGTCCTAACATACTTTAAAACTTTTCTAAGGACATGCGAATGTACTTCTTAAAAAAAAAGGAGAAAGCTTTTTATTTTTTTTACTGTTTTTAAACAAATATCTTGATATATTGTCCTCAGATAATTTCTTTTGGCATTTTTACTGGAATATTGACCCACTGTGCGTTCGGACAATATGAAATAGTGCGTTCAGATAATATGATACCACATTCTAGCGTACCCAATATACTTTTATTTCTATTTTGATTGCAAACGATAGACAGAGCTATATGTACTAATATCGATAGTCGGCATCTCTGTCTATTCATATTACACTCCCTGCAAAGTGATGTTTATTGTTTAAGGTAGTTCCTTTGAATCAAATCTAGGCTTAAGATAGGTACGCAAATTAGTTCAATAGTTAAAGCAGTTCTGAATAACATTTAAATTTTAAATCGACTGACCATTTCGTTTTTTAGAAATTAATTTTCAATGTTTCAAGGTATGTTCTGGAAAATATGAATGGTATAAAAAATCGAAAGAAGATGCAGTTATTTCAGGTCCCTCATCTAAAGACACTTAATTATGAGTTTTACTTTTACAAAGTTAATATAATTTGTTAGTTTAGTACCTATATATAAATTATGTTTCATTTTATATATCTATTTTCAATGGAAATAAGATAGTATTGGCCAATAAAAAGATATATTTTGCGTGTATACAATATTTTTGCATTTATGTTTTATTTCTCTAAATTTTGTACTTTTTTTCTGAAAAAAATATAGGTCTAAACACAGACTACTCAGTTATATGCGTTCCAAATTTTAATGATGGAATACAGTGAAAATTAAATGTTTATTCTTATAAAAACATGATTGTACTCACCCTGTTAGTACTATTATCAGGTCATAAGCTAATAAAAGTTAAACATCGTCTTTAATATACCTATGTCTATAAACTTACTTAATTATTAAAAATATATATATAGTAGTATTTATATATGTTATAATAAATCTCGTCCTATACTGCAATTGAATAACTGTTGATGTTATTTTTATACAATAAGCCTCGCATACAGTAATCTTAAATAAACCAGGTATTTCCCAATAAATAAATAAATAATTAGATATACAATACAGAAAGTGACTTACCTTTTATTTATAAAACTACCTATATAATTCATCGACGTTGCAAAAAAGGTGCTCGTCATACGATGTGCAAAGTGTAAATGCACATATCTAGTTTAAATATATTATCAATTCTCAGGTAGCGTTAATTTTTATTGACTGAATACTAAATGAGCACGTACTAACTACAATATCTTTGAATTTCAGACTAAAATATTATCTCCAAGGCATAATATAGTCTTGCGGTGATTCCTATATATAATATAATCATTAAATAACTTATTTACGCAACGTTTTCGGAGTAGGTACGTTACATATTTCGTCTAATTTTGTTGGGATATACCCAGTGGTTTTAAGATAAGTGGCACTCATCATTTCTATCTAAACTTCCGGCCACTACACTAAAAAACTGATACGCATAGTGATGTAAATGGTAAAATGACAAAATGTTACTTACATAAATTACTGTAAAATTACCGTAATATTACGCACCGCGAGATAACGGATGTAATTTATGTAATTTATGTAATTTTTGTAACTTACGTAAATTACGTAATTTACTGTAATTAATGTTAATTTACACTTAATTTGAAATATCGCGCCAATTTCAATTTTGACATTTAAGGTTTTATAACCTTTCTTTTATTTTAGCAATATTAGCATTCATTTTGAAGAGTATGGTGATAGTGACGATGAGGACCAGGATTGTACAAGCTCTAATAGCTGTTTTGCATTGACAATTTATTCATGAATAAATTAACGAAGTTCTTCATGAATTAATTCATTGGTAAACAGCGGTACCGTTTTGACACATATCATATAAACATTAGTTTTTGTATGTAAGAAATCAGTAAAAACAATGCAAAACTAGTACGACGCCACACAATTATTTACATATTCCAATAACATAACCTCATTACTGATCTGAGGCAGGAAATCTGTTGGGTTGGTACTTCTGAACTTCACGAAGAAATTGACGAAAATTAGAGCATGTTCTAATTCGTCAAGAACTTGATGAATAAATGTATGAAGTTATTTGACAGTAGACAAGAAATTCGACAAGTGTAATGCACCAAGCATTACACTTGTCCAATTTCTTGATGAAGCGACTTCATGAATTAATTCATCAATAAATTGTCAATGTAAAACAGCTATAAGAATAAGGTATTACCTGAAAGAAATGAAGGATTTGAGGCAAAATGTAATGAAAAAAAGCGTGTTATTGTTATACAAAATATTTCACTTGAAAAGGTTCGATTTTCGTTGTTGCATTTTTCGTTCATAATTTTGACTAAAATTTAGGTTGACCATGGAAAGACCGAACTGACAGAAATAGATAGAACGAAAGAAATAGAAAAGAAAACAGAAATAAACGACGAAGAATTAAAAACTGTTAATTGTAATACATTCTATCAAAAAGGCCTATATTCCAGAAACACAAATGCTTAAAGAAACGAAAGGTGTTTTAAATAGAAACCTAAATATTTGTATTTATATTTGATTTATTTTATTTTTACTGCTGAACTTATATGAATAAAAAAAAATTAATTTTTTGCATAAAAATCGAAATATTATTTTTTAATCATTGAATTGCAGGACTAGTTTTATAGAAGCTGAGTACTGAGAAGCTAAACAAGTTGAGTACACTTTAAAATGTCGTAAAATTTAAATGTCATAAATTACATAAATTACAAGCTAATTTGTAAATTACATGAAATATTACCAGTAAAATTACATTTTCATAAATTACAAGTAATTTAACATCACTAGATACGCAACGTGTTGTAAGGTGAAATATTAATTACTTCTATCATCACATTTAAATCTGTAAAATTCCCATTTTATTTTTAACTAAGGAAACTATTACTCTGCGGACTAAAAACCGTTCCAGCACTGAATAACAACCGCAATATCTCTAGTAAACAGCAAAGGTCATTCGCTAACAGAACACAATCAAATACCTAGATTATTCATCTGTCATCTCTTACGGCCTAATGATGATACTAATAATAATATTAATAACTAATAACTGGTCTGTCTTTACTAGACATTGCGCGTATAATAAGTTGGACAGAGTTAGTCCGCAGAGTAGCTGCAACAATGCCTTGTGTCAGTAAAGACATTGAGCAGCCTGCAGCAGTGACAATTACGATATAACATATGCTAGTAGGTATAGTCTTTCCCATCTCAGTTGAAGACCAAAGAGCTAGGTAGTATGTACCAGGTTCGGTCGCTACGAAGCAACTCGGCATTAAAATATTTGAAAAACTTGTTCCCATATTTATTTAGCCATATCCATATATAGGTCTGGTCGTCCAGTTGAAGGCAAAAGGCGCACGAACACAGCCCCACTGGACAATCGGCCATAAATTTCAGTTGTTCGCAAATTGCCTAGCAGTGCAGTGCAGCAATGCGGAATTTGGTGAGGTTCAGGTAATTTTAATTTATTGTAGGCACCTTCTATTAATTATTCATATTAGGAAATTGGGAAAGGGAGAAATAAGAGGGATATTTTGTTTACTAATATTATTACAACATGTCATTTTGTAGACTTTTTGAAACGGAACAAAACGAAATACCGCCAGACAATATTGAATTGGTAGAACCGGTTGTTGATGAAACAGATTTAGAATTTAAAAATAAAATAAATAATTACATTTACATGTTCAATGTCAGTGTCCAATTTTAAATATTTCGATTGTTTAAAAAAGGAAGAAAATGAAAAATCAGATAATGAAATTACAAATAGTATACACATGTTAACTAAAGCTTCAACATCCACAATTTTTCGTGTTATTAAACAAGGTTGTAGATCATTGCGTGAAGAAAAAGCGAAAACAAAAATTTAAAAATATCGATGACATGACGAGAGACGTAATTCGGCGAACAATGTATAATTTATATAAAGAAAATTGAGGACATAATTAAAATATGTTGTTGGCCAAATGAACATAAGTATAATAGAAATTTTCTTCACATTATATACAAATTATTATTTTTTACCTTTAGCAGAAAGCTTCTTTAGGGATGCCTATGAAACTCATTAAATTTTATTGCTAGGCGTTTTTATACATGTTCAAAACTGACTTCGGAAAGACTATACTTTGTTTATACGCTAACTTTAATTTTTTTAATCAATATGTAAAGAAAAGAAAATCTATGTTAATTTTCAATAACGTATATCCCGGATTTGTTTAAATTCATCGGTGCTCTTGTGGATGTTAAATTTAATCTATAAAATAATAACTTAATTTCCCTCGGATCAAAATGTCTCTGTAAATTGATATATCATCCAGGATATCTTACGATAAGATTTCTTATACGTAAATTGGTAAGCTTAGTGCATTTTATCTCTAATAAGTCTTCAAAATAATTTATTTTCCAATCTATCAAGATGTTGTAAATTATATAAAGTTCAATGAAACGATATTTTACAAGTGGTAATATGTTTAATACGAGATATAGAGTTAAAAGTAGAAGCGGTTTCGTTGATTTCGTCTGTCATATTAAAAGGTAGGTAGCTCTCTACATGGGTACTTAATATTCTTTTAAATATTCGAACTATACAAATACAAAACAGATTTCCTGTGTTTTTTATTGTATCAGTAATTTAAAGAATATGTCCAAGAGAAAATATATATATCAGTATTATATGGAACATAAAGATGTATTAAATTTATTGACTTGTACTATTATTAAAGTGGTCAGTCAAATAGATGATATTAAACAAAAAATTAGCATTCCTTCTCTAATATAATTAACGTATTTTAATAACCTGGAGACGTAGTACTAACTTAATGTTGCTTTTTAAATAGCAGATAAAAAGTATTTAGGTGTTACAAAAATTATATCTACATGACTGTCTACATTTATGTCTATGTCTATAATTTTTTTGATATTTTGGATGGTTAGAAATTATCTAAACTTCATAATAACAGATATTTTATGAAAATATTTTTAATCATACGCCTTAGTCACAAAAGTACGATGCTTAATATACATGTTGAATAAAAGTGATAATTTGTAGGGGATATTTGTTGATTTCTTACGGTAGTGAAATGTTAAGTTGGTAACATGTGGGTAACTAATGTAGGAATGAAAGGGGTTGGTAGTAGGGATGGGCAGATTTAATGAAAAACATCGATGTTATGTTATATCGATTATCAAATAATTTATTATAGATTCTCGATATATCGGAGTAAAACATCGATTTTTTTCGAAAATCGAAAAAAAACAACCCTAGACTAGTATAACATTTTTTTAATCAAGATATTTAAAAAATATAATAAATAAGTACCGAATTCTAAAAAAATGATAATAATACATTTTGATTTGTTCAGTTACGAGTGTTACTAGTGCAATAGTTTTGTTTTCTATGATCTGTGAATCCAACTAGTTTCGAAAGATTGAGGTCCGTTACATACATAACAAAATTATTTTCTATTTACATTATATTACTTACCATAACCAATACAAAAAGATCAGCGAAGGATTGATTATTTGTAAAAATTTAGTAAGTAAAGAAAGAAATCTACAAAATTTTCAAGTACCATTGTCCCAACTCGACATTCTTTTCGTGAATCCTCACTGAACACTGAACATTGAACATCACAAAATTAGACAATTTTAATTTAAGACAACTAAATTGGATTAAGACTGTAAATATTTTTCCAAAAATTTGTTCTGAATATTAAACGATATTTCTAGAGACAATATCGATATTCTTCGATATATCACTTTCAAAAGAAATCGATTGTTTTCCATCGATAACTACCTCCTAACATCGATGTTTAAAAAGTATCGATGTTTTTCGCCCATCCCTATGGTAGCATTAGATTTTTGATTTGTATTTTGTGACCGCTGTGCTTCTAGTTTTAAAAACTAAATTGTTCTTATTTTATTTTTCGTCAATTTTTGTTGACAACTGGTTGTTCCATTGGCTTAACCCAAAACCGCCGTCATAATATTATCAAATAAACAGGTAATAAAAATATTCAGGATAAGAGGATAAATAATTAATAGTAACGAACTCATATAATTTTTAAAACGTATAGGAACAATGGTAAAAGCAGGATTACAGGAACTAATATTACTATTTACTTCTTTACAATTATGATGTATGTAATTAATTACTTATATTGTTTATTTGTTGTATCTTGAGGAATTTATTATATTTGTGTTGGTTTATGTTTTGTATTTACTTTTTTTACTAATCTTATACAACATGTAACGTATATACAGGGTGTGTCATTTAACATTCCCGGTGCCAATATCTTCGAAATGAAGAAATTTATTTTAGTTCCGGAAACTGGGATTGTAGTCCCTCGAATAGCTTCAAATAATATAAAGTTTTTCCCAATATTTACTTGTTTCCGAAACATGTCGATATAGATATACTATATATGTATGATGTAACAGGAAAATCTATTATTTTTACAAACACCAAATTATAAAAAAAATAAATGATCAACTACATTAAAAAAGTTGTACAATGGTAAATCTTACAACTAGCATCTATTATAGTTCAATTGAAAGATAAGGTAAGCTGATAAAACTGTAATTATTGGAAAACTAATATGTGTCATATGTCATACATGTTTTATTTTAGACAAATGATATGAGCCACCTATGACTGAATTTTTTAATAATATTTGATAAAATACGGTGCGTTTCTACCCCTTATAAGATAAGACCACTGTACAATTTTTTTTCTGTAGTTGATCATTTGTTTTTTTTACAATTTATTGTTTGTTAGTAAGAATGTGGAATGAATAAAGCTATTATATAACGATATTTAAAAAAAATATTTTATCTCAGTGTGATTTAAATAAAATAATAGATTTTCCTGTTACATCATACATTGCATATTGATGTTGAGATGTATCGAATAATAAGTAAATATTGGGTAAAACAAAAATTACTCAAAATTTAACGATCTTTGAGATGGACCGCATTTCTACGTTCCAGGAATCAAAAATTGTTTAGTATCGCCACGCCATCTATACAGAAAGATTTGAACTAACAATTCTAACTGCAATTTGAAGCTATTCGAAGGACCTAACAATCCCAGTTTCCGGAATTAAAATAAATTTCTTAATTTCGGAGATATTGGTAGTGGGAGTGTTAAATGGCACACCCTGTATTGTCTAAGAAAGATAAATGTTATTATAATACTAGATAGTTACAATCAGTAATACTAATATTCCTTAAAAAGAACTAATTAAGTAAAAAATAAATTTTATGTAGGTATCCCACTAAACATTTTTCAGTTTCCGACATGTTTCAGAAACGTTTCCATTTTTCTTGAAACGTTTCCTAAAAAATCCATGCAACATTCTGGTAACGTTCTAGAAACCCAAGATGTCCTCCCCAAAATACGTTTCCAATGAAATGTTTCAAAAAATTGGTTTCAGTAATATTCTTTTTATGTTCCATTTATGCACTCGGTATTTTTGTTTTACGTTTCAGTATATTTTCAGAAATGTTTGAGTAACATAATAATTTTATTACCATATTGTTCTCATAATGCTCTCAACTTTAGATAATTTTCACTTCAAAAGCGTTTTTGAAATAGTATAAATAGTGTGAGTAATTTTTAAAATATTTCTAATACTCTTTTGTGATATTTTTATTTGTATTATGAATGACTTAATTCGAACTCCAGACAACTTCTCAAAAAATTTAACTAAAAAAAGTTGTTACCTACATTGTATATTAAAAATAAATAAATAAATAAATAAATAAATATGCTCTTCTAGTTTGGGGATGCGGCAACTTTTACCAAGAATTTCTTTCTTTTTGAGAAGGCACTGAAAAAAGTTTCTAATATGGATTACGAATTTTGCCATTCATCATACAAATAAAAATGTCACAAAACAATATCAGAAGCATTTTAAAAAAGCTACACATCATTTTATATTGTTCAAATACGCTTCTAAAATGGAAATTTTCTAATGTTGAGACTATCGTGAATATGGTAACAATGACGAACTGATAATTAGAAAAAGTTAATTATGATTATGAATCTTGAAATGGTAGGTACATGAAAAACAAATAACATTACATACTGAAAAATAATATAAAGTTACAATTTCTTCTACGCATAGTCAATATTACATCTATCCTTTTAATAATAATAATAAATTATACAGCAGAAATAAGGATACAAAATGATATCTTGACAAAATAAATATCTGTAGGTATACCTAAACTCTTTTATTTAAGCATGCCTATACACAAACAAATATAAACATTTGTACAAAATATAAAATAAATGAAGTCAATTTCACTTGATTAATCCATATTTCAAATAGTTCTCACTGACTAAGTAGTGGCTCATCAAATTATATCGAAACGTATAGTTCCATATTCCATTTTCTTAGTTCTTGTCCCTTGTCCTCGTCTATAATAGGTAGTGGGTATAACCACATATCTAAGTAGGTATAACTATGTTTAGGTAGATGTGTCGCAAAATTGGAAATCTCTTTACATATATCGTTTTAATCATATTGCATTAATATTCATTATTTTATAAGCACCTTACAATAACCACAACTGCACACACTACAAATTATCAAAGTAAAGATGGAGAACAACGAATCAAGGCAAACTTGCAAACCGCAAACCTAACCTAACATAATACGAATTACGAATTGAAATCGACACGGGATCACGGGAAACAAATAAACTCGGGCTATTACGCGCAGTCTACGGAAGTCACGAACATACATTTTTTCTAGACTTGTTCTTGTTATAAATATGCCAGCACAATTTTTTTTTTGTTTATGTCTGTTTGTATAACAAATGCAAATGAACTAACCCTTGAGAGGGATTGGGGATTGGGAGCAAAATTTAACTAATGTCGATTGTCGAATGTTCCATAAGATAAGCAAAAAAAGCAAAGGGTTGTTCGTCTGTTATGTTTTCGAGATCGAAAGGGAATGTTTCGAGTAATGTTTCAAACTCTGTTCAATTGGAACGTTTCGGCTATGTTTCACTAAAGAAGTTTTCAAGTGCTACATTTCTGTAATGAAACAGAAACGTTTCTAGTTAATGTTTCAAATGTTTAGTAAAACATCTCATTTGCAACGTTTCATTTACGTTTCGTGTTTAGTGGGATGTATAATTTACTGTATTTTAAAATTTATTATTTATTGCCTGTTTTTTATTTCAGATATCTGGCGATTGAGATAGATAAGGACATTACTAAAAATGATTATCCATAGTGTTGTGTTTATTTTTTCCTTTAAAAAAGTTAAATTGTTTATGTTATTGTTGTTTGACTATAATATTTAAATTATTCAATTACATCTGTTCAACATTTAAAAAAATGTAATTCTGATAAGAAACAAATTGTTTATGCCATATGACCCATACGGTTTTATATTTTAACCTCGATATTACCACTCCAGATGACAGAACAAAACCCGCATCCTTTCCGGATGGAGATTCTAGGTAAGTTTTATATTCATAATATTTTAACTACTGTTATGATTATATCGAAAAAGAACGTTATCAGTAAATTTAGCATGCTTAGTGGGAGTTATTTTGTGTTAATTTACATGGTACTAACAAAAGATAAATGTATTTTGACTGTGACTATAGTAAGCCTGCTTAAATGGTATGTTTAGTGAATACTCTTTTGTTTGGGATGGGTTTAAAGTAAAACAAATGTAAGTTCATAATATATGTATAGATTTAATTTTTCAAATGTGATACAATTTTATTATCTTCTTCCATTCATTTTAACCTTATAAGAATTGTCACTATATCGTTTAGCATGTCTTGAAATGTTTTCTAGTCTAATAATACATTGTGCACACATTGGTAAAACTATCCTTACAAATTGTACTCTTTCTTGAGAATCATATAAAAAAATATATTGAATATCAATAATATCATGAAAACTGTAAGTTATAAATACTATTAGAAGACATGTTGTAGTTTATGATTATGGAATATTATGGTTTGTTTATTTTGTAAAATATGTTTCTGAAATAATTGCACAACAGAAGAGGAACTATATTCCAATGCAGTTTTGTTCCCAATCGTATTATAGCAGATTGTAAGTACTTTATTTTCTAAATGACTACACAAAATTGCAGTAAGTAGCAATGTCCATATTTTTCTAATACACAAAAACAGAGTTATACAAGAGTTGCAATGGTGTAATACATAACTAATACAATTGATGCTACTAACATAGGCAGAATTATAAGTAGATATATGCTCCTGTCGGCTGCACCCTCTATCTCTTTTTCGATCGGTCCATTTCCTATTATTTTTCTGTTCTTAGTATATGGAATGATAGCTATTAATATACCCGAAATCGCAATCCATATGGCGCCTTGGTAAAACGTTTGATCCCAAGTTTGTGTCACATCAAACAAATGACCTGCAATAAAAATAACTAAATTACAACCGAGTACATGTAGAAAGGTAAAAATAATTATCAAAATCTACTCTAAATATAGAAATTACAAATAACAAATTTAAGGTAAATCTAACAATAATCATCAAGATTGTACACGTTTTTTTAATACTAAGGATTTTCTACATCAGATTATCATCACACTCATAATATCTCAGAAAAGGACAAAACACATCTCTATGTTAATACTGAGCTTGCCTTACTTCATACTTCTGGCAATAAAACAAGTAAATATCAGTTACGTTCCAATATGTTTGTATTTACATTGGTGACAGTGGTTTAGCAATAATTGTTTGAAACATATTGCCTGCATGTTACTTGTTTTGATACTATTGGCTGTTATCTGTTATGTAGTAACAAATACAAAAATTAAAGTCTGGTATTTGTCATATCAAATTAGAAGAAAACAACAGTACTATTATTGATTTTATAAATCACAGACTATTATTGGGTCTCCTTATTAGATAAAATCTACAACAGGATTATCTATCTGTATATGCAGTAGCAAAATTAAATGATGAAGGCAAGTGTAATTGTTAAAATCATTTTCCAACTTACACAAAATCATAATAAAATTATCAGAAGAACGGGATTCAAATTATTGCAAAAAGTAGAAGGAAGAAAGCAAAAAATAGAGGAAAAATTAAATATATAAAAATGTAATTACGAAAGCAACTAATACAACAAAAAAATAAAGTTATAGATGAAATAATATAATATCAGTGTCAAATTCTGTCATATTTTTCTTCATGTGTGGATAACAAAAGATGTGTACAGGCTTCTGAAAGTACAGAGAGATTTTATTTGTTCTTTGTGTATTGTCTAAAAGATTTTAAATAATTTTTTAATGATTTATTCCAATTTCGTTCAATATGATGAACATTCTTACAGTAGTCTGACAATTATTCGTAAATTCGTTTCAATGTTGCTGCCGGTTTAAAAAAAAACGACCACTGTAAAAGTTTTGACCGCTAAAAGGGAGAGATAACCGGAGAAAACTATCACCCAGTATATCGATTTGACTAAAGCTCTAAGAAATAATACGCCATAATGGTTCCAAATAAGTGTCTCAAATTTTAACGCGAATTTCTCATGATGATCACCACTACAAAATTAAATGTAGGTAAGTAAGCAAACACATTTAAGATTAAAGTCGATGAAATAACGATTATAAAAAATTTTATCTTGTGAAATTTGAACTTTGTATGTTCTTTAACCCGACGATTACTTTTTTTATTTTTGACAACTTTGAAGGTATGTAACTCAAAAACCAAAAAGTTTTTATTTAACTTTTTTTTCTAGTTCACATTTATTTATCGTTGTGAGAATATGCAGTCAAACGTTGTCTGTGAAATTTGTGGACATCCCGTGGTTTCGCAATATAAATTGTAGTTTACAAAAAATTTAAAAACCTACCTGCGTAGGGCGGTCCTACAAGTATGCCAATCCCCATGCAAAGTAACTGGAGTCCATAAGCCACAGTAAATCTTTCCAAAGGTACCAACTCGACGAGTATACCAGGAGTGAATGAAAAAGAACTTGATAGAAATACACCGAATAATCCGGCGCATATTTGTAGCATTATGAAGTTTTGTACGAAATACATCATACCAGCACATGAAACTCCACAAAGCATTAGGCAAACTGCGTATGTTTTCGTAATATTCATCCAATGTTGATCACCAGCCCATCCAAGAACAATCTAAAAATAAATGAAAATGCTTTTCCTAAGAAGGTTTAATCGTAAATACTACAATATTTTTTCAGTGCAAGCTCCCCAAAATGAATATTTTGTGAACTAAAAAAAGTTCTCAAAGTATCACTCTTGTGATATCATATGATTTCGTACAAATTTTCGTATGACCAATGTAACCACTATTGAAACGTTAACAACATTTTTGTGTGTGTTGATGTGTTTTTTTTTGTATTTTGCATTTGTCTGTTTTTTCAGAGTGAGATTTTTTGTTAGCCAAAACTATTTTCACAAGAATAACCCTAGAGTGATCTTTTTGGCGTATTCCATAAATTTTTAAATTTTTCCAGAAATACAATAAATAAGAAAAAAAAAATAGTTACCATTGTCTACTATAACAAACACTCTTACATTTCTACAATGCAGTTCATGGAATATTTCGACCATATGGTTATACTTTCAGATTCTGCAACATTTCATGTAAAGATCATGACAAACATCACAAGTCTATTCCTTCAAATACTTTTCACGTCACTGATTTTACTTGCTCTATACAGGGTGATTCACAACTTATCCAAAAAAATTTGGAAATAGATGCGGCATGAGAAATGGAGTCAATATTGTAAAAAAAAAATTGTAAAATCCTTATAGTTTCCAAGAAAAAAATTATTGAAGTTTTGTGCTTTTAACCATTACAAAGCTGGCCAACTGAATTCGTAATACACGTGGAGAGCCACGAGGCCTCAGCGACTCAGAATACTGAAATCGATGTTTACAATAGTTTTTTAGTAGTTAGTGTCAAAAATGGCTTGCGTGTATATAACTCGGAGTTGACGGTTTCAGTTTATGGTGAAGCAAGAAAACATTTGTATTATGGTGAAGCATTTGTGTTATAGTAAAACAAAACAGCAAATGTGTTAGTTCGTAGAAACTGAGTAAGACGGACCCAAATGTGTTTACACGTCGGTGGACAAAATTTTGAACAGTTGTTGTAACATCAGGTATGTCAAATTATTTTATTATTTAAAACCACAAATGAATTTTATTAATTAATAATAACAATAGCGGCAAAATCAGTTGAGTTTTCTGATATAAAATAGGTGCTATAAAATTCTATTTATTCTTTTCCTTGCGATAATTCTTTCAAGTTTTTGCCCGTTTTTATCACTGCCGTTATGACGCATGACGGTCGCATTGCGCCGGGTCAGGTTTTACAGTGGACCAGTTTCCAGTGTCGTGCAGAAGTGTATTTTTAAATTATTTTGGAACTGCACTTTTTAATTTTTTCTTTACAAAATTGTATTTGTAATAGGCCCCCGTACATCTAGAATTTTTTTTTTTTGGATAAGTTCTGAATCACCCTGTATGTAATAGATTTGACATTCCTTTTACAATTTATCTCAATAGCTAATAGTTATACATAAACTGTAAACAAATACGATATTTACTATGATCTCGGTAAAATGAGACCCTTGAAGAAAAAAAATTGTACCATAAAACACTGAATAATACTAGTATGACTTTTATTTTTATTATTCTAAAAATGTTAACTAATAATTTGTGTGTTAGTGATTGGTGGGTCTATACTGAAAAATTTTGTAGGTAATACATATGGAAGATGCTTTGATGGACTGACCTATATATTCCATAAACATCTAGATTCCATCAAAGAATTGTTTTGGTACTTGTTACATAAATATAAGTTGCTGGCTGTTCGTGTTTACATATAAATACAATGGGATTTGTCAAGGATAGTTTTTTCACTGACTCTTATTATGCTTATAAGAAATCTCTTAGTTTTTTTAACAAAGACTTATTTCTTCCTTACTTACCATACCGATGGTGTTGGTGATGCCGATATTGGCTATCGTGAGAGGCACGTCGCTATTTTTATCATAGCCCATTTGTTTCATAAGCTCAACCAAATAAAAGTACGGCACTATAAACCAAACAAAAAGTATTATGGTCGATAGGGACATCAAGAGAAAATGAAGTTCTAAGAATAACGAAAAATCTAAGATTCCCTCCACCATGTCAACCAGTTCCGAGTACCATTTCTATAAAATTATGAGTGTAAGAAGTTGGAACAGACAGTGATAATAGAAATCGAGCAGCAGATTGAAATTTTGACAAAATAAATTACTGGTAATTATGCAGTATACCGATTTAGATCATCTAATTTTAGTACAATTTTGCTTATTAAACAAGTTACAGGCTTTCAAAAAAACATTATTTTTTTATTAAAGATTTCCTGTTCAAATAATTCAATAAAATTTGGTGTAGGGGTGTTTTTGAAGTCGCCAAACATGAATATAAGCTGATTTTCTGCCTAAAACATGAAAATTGCTAAAAATATGTCAAGCTTTTGGGAAAACACAAAGTGTATTACGAAATATAACTTTATTTACTTAAAAACAATACCTAATGTGCCTAAATTCTAGAGAAAAGTGGATAGGAAAGCGGAGTATTAGAGTGTATTTTAGTCTAATAAGCTTTTGCCAAATTTGTATCAATCTTTTTCTGGAATTTAAATTAATCTAATCAAAAGTCGACACCTTCTAAGATTTAGGTCTTTAAATGTTATTCTGTGAAACTGCATTTACAGATATCTCACATACCTTGAGTTTTGGTAGAGGCAAGTTGGTTTAACTAGTTGGATAAAGAAAAATTCAATATGGTTATATTTACAAAATAAACTTGATAACTGCAGTAGAAAATTAAAATCCATTTTCCTGTAGAAAAACAATTATATTCATGTTTGTATCATAAAATTTCATTAAAATATCTTAAAATAGAAGAGTTAATTAAAAATATATACAGGGCGTTTGAAGTTTGACTGCCTTAATTTTAGCAGACGATAGAATGCATTAAAATAAACAAAAAAAAAAACTTAGATTTCATGGGTCCTAAACTCAACCATTTTGAAGAAAAAAAAAATCAAAACCTCCAACTTGATGTACAAAAGTTCGATTAATTAAGGAATATTGACATAACTGCATTCACAGAACACCATAAAATATAATGATTAAAATTTTTTTAAATTTCTTTATGCTTAATTCTAAAAAATAATTAGCGTTGTAATGAATTTAAAATTCCATAAAATCCATATCGAGCAATCTGACAACGGCGCGACAGTTAACACGAGGTACTAAGCAATATGCAACGCAATTCAGTTGTTATCTGGAATTTGACCGTGACGGAGTGTTTTTTGCGTGTCACTATTTCCTTTTCTTGAAGTGCTTCTCCTTGCTTTTTTAACTGTTTACCATACGGGATAATTTTCCAGCGAGTACGCGAAAATTGGATTCGAAGGTGTCGTGCATACATTGAAAATGGTGGTTGATATTTTGAGTATATGTTGTAGTTTGTTTTGTACTTGAGCGTTTAAAAATTACTGAATTTTGCTTTTTGCTAAATTATTTTTAATACGTATGATTCATTCACGACGTGGATCTTTGTGTACTTTATTTACATATTTTTTAAATTCATAATTTGATTAAAAGTTAAGTTCCTGTTTTAAGAGATTTATAACTACTAAAATTCGAGATAAAAATTTAAGCACAACACTATCTTCATACTACAAAATCTATACATTTTATTTTATTTATTGAAAAACTGGAAAACAATAGTCTTGAAATTTACTAAATGTTTCACAATAATAGTTGTTTACATTTTTTCCGTAGGACAAGTCTGCCGCGTGCACACGTGTCTGCATCAGCTGTGTAGTGTTAAGTTAAACGTTGTTGTCACGTTGTGATGAAACTCCCCAATATTAATACTCACTGTATTTTGAAAACTGTTAATTTTACCCCCCTGCAATATACAACTTTTTTGTTCATTTATGATTACTCTATCTCATGCTAAAGTAATGGCAGTCAAACTTCTATCACCCTGTTTTTGAAAACATGTAACATTTTAAGAAAGCAAAATTATTGAAAAGTAACTTTATTTAATTCATTTTCGGATGCTTTGTACGCATTATAATTTAATGTTGCAAATATTTTACTATAAAAACTCGTTCTCGGATTTCTTATGCATATAATTTTTTTCATAAAATTTATGTCTAATGCTACCTGTTACCATGCCATTTCTTTTCAAAAATTAAGTATTACTGTCCTCTATGTAGACATATTAACTTACCTCGTCTCTCTCTGGAATGGTTACCATGGACACTCTGTATATATTCGGACAGCTGGAAGCTTTAAATCTGTATTTGTTGGTATTAATCATAGCCCCACGACGTACCATCAAGGATTGCCAATGGAATTTCAAATTTCTCAAATAATTTTGCCTTTGTGACTGTACATGGTACTGTTTAAGCCATGGGAAAGATGCATTCCTGGAGGGAGGCATTTCTGGAACTGTGGATTTTTTTTGCATTAATGGTTCCATGGCGGTTATGTGCTCCTCTGGTAAAGAATCCTGCAATTGGTCATAACCAGCGTAAAGTACTTACTTTCCAAGGATTATCAGCTGCTTATCATAGTTCAGATATCTTAACAAACTTAATGGCACAAATTTTTAGTTATGAGCCTTACCTGATGGACGAGAGCGTTAGGCTTGTCTTCTTTTTTTAACTTTATGCTTACGGTTACAGGTACCCTTTCCACCTGCGAGGCATTTACTTCCAATTTGTTGAGTTCTTTATCAGATGTACTTCTACATAAGAGCAAACTCGGATAGTTTGTTAAAATTATGTTGTACAATTTCTTATTACTTGCTAACTGTTCTAATACTTCAATAGGTACCTAGAAAAACAGTAATAATTATTGACATTCAACTTTTTACATGTCTCGTACCTTTTCGTTTTGTTTAATATATGTAGGCAGGTTCAGTACTGAATTGTGGACGTTTTTTAATGTGGTTTTATCTGGAGCTTGGGACTCCATGCTCGTTTCCAAAGTTTGTAAGAAATATTCAGCGTCTTTTCCACTTTGCAGCAACTTCTTTAATTCATTAATATTAATACAGTTTGCTGGATTCGTGGATGAGACTGATTCAAGGCTTGTTTTGCTGGATTTTCCTGATTTAGTGAGTTTTGAATTTTGTCTACAAAAAAATATACAAAGTGTTTCATTTTGTGTCCTTCAGTATACTTATTTTTATTCACTTTTATTATATTGCAGTATATTGTCAAACGGGATTTCAAAACTGGGAAGACATTTTCTAAAAGTCATTTTAACAATAATCCTTATTTATCGAGAAAATAACAGTGAAAAAACTAAGGATGTGTCACTAACATTTCCTCTGGCTTTTTCTTAGAAACTAACAGATGTAATAGCGGTTTTAAGGCATTCATTGCTCGTGGATTTTTAAAGTATGATGCCGTGGTCTATGTACCCAGTTGCCGCCAGTTACAGACTTCTTTGACTTACCCTTGTTCTCGGGCTAGGCTCTGTGGGGCCAAATGTTGAATCATTGAACAGTAAGATAAACATTATTAGAACAATACAATTCAGTTCTTCAAATGTAATCTATGTACTATTTTTTTATGAAAATGTAAAATATGTATGAATAAATTATTGGGGATAAATGTTTTAGATAAATTATTTAGTTATATTTAATTGAATTTAGGAAAAACAAAAGAAATCTTTACTGTATACCTTATGAATCAATATATCTGTATTAGAATGTTCTTAATTTAAACAATTAAACATTTTACTTCATTTAAAATGAAAAAAAATATGTTATAAAAAAATAAATAACCATACTTGCAACAAAACTAATAAGACGAAAATAAAATAAGTCACAGTTTTGCCATGATGCATGGAATAAGCTTAATATTTTTTGACTTTTATCGTTTTCATTAGAGCATAAGAAATGAGGTGTTTGCTCTGCCTTTTTAAACATTATCATAAAGTGAAATAATGAGGAAAAAAACTTTCAACTCGCATTTTCTAATTTTTATGATATTATTTAATTGGTGTACAGTTATGATATACTAGACTATGCCTAAGTATAGACTAAGTACCACAACCAATTGTTCTTGTTTGCCTTAAAAATAACAGTTTGACATCAATTTGTACTATTTATATAAAGAAACTATAAAAATGTAATTATAATATTTTAGATGTAAATATTGGATTATTATATATATCATCTCATTATACATATCTCAACTGAAATAATAGTTAAACAAATGAGGATGAATCTGGCTAAATACCCAATTGTATAAGCCCAAAACCAAAGAAAAAAACTCATAAGTTTGATGACAGTGGCTTACTAATCTAATATTTTTCTTTACTCAATTAAAAATTTGTACAATATGTTATTAACAAAACAGCTTGTATTAATTTCCATTGTAGAATAGTATTTAGTAACAAAACTGTACACTTTTTTTCAAACACTCCATTTTTTAAAACTGCATTATATTTAAAAAGACAGTTCCAGTTAAACTTTGGAGGTGCATGACAATTGGTTATTGCATTTTAATAAAGTTTCACTTCTTATTTGTACGTACTTTTTTTTTCTTTACCTTTATCAAAAAACAAAAATATATATCTGGTGTTATTCTTGTTGGTAAACAATAAAGAAAATCGTTAATATTTAACTAACGCTTAATTTTATGAAGTGCCTAAGTGAGTAGAGAAAAAGATTATACAAAATTAAGGTATCTATGCAACACATCAAATTTTCTTGTTCCTGGAATTGAAAAGTTTTTTTGAGCATTAACATTATCCACAAATATGAAGATAAAAAAATATTTTTGTGAAATTGATACCTTAACTGTTCTCCCCTTATGGTTGATTTAAAATATATCTTTAGTTTCTAAAGAAATGCTAGTGGGAATATTAAGTGCTTTTGTTTTAAGTTATCCAGAAACGATAACCGACTATCTGCGAAATTTTTTAATTTTTACTTGACTTACTTGTTCTGTTCGATAATCCAATCCGGATCGATCATGAGAGCTCCACACACACACATATTGAGAAGGGTTCCGGCCAAAATCAGCGTAGTACCTCTCCAGTGAAACTGATACATCAAGTAAGTGGTGAAAGGTGAAAAAACGAACGTGCCGATACCAGTTCCTGCGGCGCTCAATCCAACGGCAAGGGTTCTCTTCTTGTCAAACCAAAAAGCGATAGAGACCACGACCGTAACATAGCACAGACCCAAACCCAATCCAGACAAGATGCCAAAAGTTAAATACATTACGCCGATATGGGTCACTTTCCAGCTAATGATGAAGCCTAAAGCAGATACTAGTCCTCCTACTATAGTCATGGAGCGACAGCCATACTTGTCGACCAAAGCACTCATGATAGGACCAGTTATCAAAGGCACGGACACGAAAAGACTGCCTATCCAGGAAGTTGCAGAACTAGAGGCTCCGAATTCTTCCTTAAATTCATCGAAAAGTATGCCAAAGGAGAAGCTAATTCCATCGGCTATCATGGAAGCAACAAGAGATGCGAAAACTACCACCCAACCCCAGCCTCCATCGGGGATCTTAGGCTTGTCCAATTCTTCTTCTTCTTCTTCTGCACTGGAAGACGAGGAGGAACTCGTGCCAGATTTAAAAGTTACCTCAGTCTTATCATTCTCAATCGGTACTACGACATCATTTTTCTGGGGAGTTTTGCTGGGGCTCGAGTCTAGAGATGGCGCTACAACAGACAGTGATGCCAATGGAGCCAAGGACTTCTCACCTGAGTCGTCCATTTTTAACACAGGCTAAGGCGACAACAAAAAACTTCTTCAAAGGAATACTGATTTGACTAGGACCCGTTCAATTGACCGGTATTAAATCTAAGATGTACCGCTTCTTGGTCTGCATCCAGCGCTTGGACCAGCCTTGCAGCTTCTGCTTGGGATCTCTACCTAGTTGGGTATCCGGAGTGGAGTAAGTGGCGCAAGGGTGTTCCTCGTGACCTCTCATCAATGACGGGCAATTGGGAACTTTGGAAAGTCAAAGCTGTACCCTTGTTAGTGTTATGTTCGACTTTAGGCGGAATGTTCAGGAGCAAACTCTTCCTTGACAGCCATATTGGAAAAAATCGCCTGGAAGTAAAAAAATAGTAATTAGTAACAATCACAGTAATAATATAAGAAGAGGATTAGTGATTTTTTTAAAGGTGAAAGTAAATAAATTGTTGGTGCTTATTTATTCGGTGTTAAGTGATTTTTATAGACAGATTGCAAATGGATTGGTTAAAAGTGTGGCTTGCAGAAATGAAATTTTATTTTTATACAACTGAAAAATTGATAGAGTTGTTTAGAAACTTTTCATTTTGATTTCTTTAAAAAAACAGAAAAAATAGAAGGAATAACAGTGTTGTAGCTTATATTAGTCCCTTCTAGAGCTCAAAAAAGGAAACATATAGATGCCACGGCCTGTAGCATTAAGCATTCCAAAATTTATTTTCCTTTTTACAGCTGTTTGCACCTATAAAATATTGAGGATTGATTTATGGAAAAATTTGACACATTTTTATCCAACTGTCTCCCTGTAAATTAAAAAATTTCATGTTTTATTCTGAGTAGAATGAATGATAAAATAAAAAAAATAATTTATTTACCACAAATTACAAAAGAACATTTTTATAAAATTAGACATGTTTTTATTAATAGAATACTTATAAATACTGTTAAGTAAATATTTGGCATGAATTATGCGGGGCTTGTTTCAATTTCTCTATGACTTCTACTACTTCTCAATGGACTGGAACCCCATAACCTTCTATTTTCTGTAAAGGGGATCACAGCTATTAACAATCCGGATATTATTATCCAGAATCCTGCCTGGTAAAAGGATTGCTCCCAAGACTGTGTTACATCAAAGAGAAAACCTAAAAACAAGATGAAAAAAGTATAGACATGATATAATTCTCGAAACACCAAAAAATAATAGACAATAGAACCATACAGTTCTTTGGAAAATATCATTTTATTTAGTAATCTATAATTCTTGAAATTTATGGTATGTTACTCTGAAACACTATGTATATGAATATTAATTCTTACCAGCCAATGGTGGGCCTGTTAAGTTACCAATGCCTTGACACAATAAGAATAAGCCGTATGCCATCGTGAATTCATCCAGGGGCACCAACTGTGCTAAAAGAGATGGCGTCAAAGATAGACAGCTGGCAAAGAAGACACCGAATAGGCTTCCGTTTATTATTAACATTACGTAATTCGAACTGAACAACATCATCGATGCAACACTCAATCCACAGAGAATTAAACAAGTGGCATAGGTTTTGGCTACGTTTAGCCTATCACCAGCCCATCCTAATAGAATCTAGAAAAAGAAAAATTATAAAAAACTAGTGGGTGAATGTTAAAAGTTTTCCATATACCCTTATCCAGTTATTAATTTCTTTTGTTTTATTAAAAATGACATTTAGAGCATAAAACACTCACTACTGTAATATTTATATGTAACAAGAATATCAGTTTTCTTTAAAGTTATATTTTTTAACTTTTAGTCTTTTAAAAGAAGAGTATCAAATAAAAGAAAAACCAAAAGATGGTATCATACATCGGATCCACTTATTTGAATATTCTTTGGTTAACCATTGAAATTTAACACTTACTGTAAGTTTTTATTTAACATTATTCTCAAACGAAAAATTCAAATAATACAATTTCAAAAAACATGATTTTTAACTAATGACATTGTAGAAAACAGTTATTACGTGGGTTATATGACCCGTGCAGCAGTGATTTCCACCTTCAATATCCAGTAAACACTTAAGATCATTCATCAGCAATATCATCAGACATAGAAGATCAGTTTCAAAGTTATTAATTCTCAGTATGCCATAAGTGAGATGGCCGACAAACAATTGAATTATTGGAATGCCTTTCTACTGCATGCTTTGATTGTGGGTGAGTTATAACCTACAAAGTATATGTCATATCGTAAAAGTCACATCTGCTCAGTATCTACTGGCACACAGCATGAAGTCCGTAATAGTTGTAATTACATTTAAGATACGACATACGTTATAGGTTAACTCACCCACAAATATAATTTTATTGAGACTCTCGTTAGTTTTTGATGTAACAGTTCTTTTAGCTGAATAACTGAGTGGCACATAAGGACACAGTTTGAACACAGTGCCCTATGCAAAAACCAGCTTTAATGCTTATTTACTTACCATTCCAATAGTATTTGTGAATCCAATAACGGAAATAATGAAAGATGCCTCTGTCTCTGTATATCCTATTCTCTGCATGTGATCAGCTAGGTAAAAGTAAGGCACGATGAACCATATAAATAAAATGATTGTGGATATAGAGAGCAGAAGAAAATGCAATTCCAAGAATAAGGAGACATTACTCAGATCTTTGACGATTTCCAAAAATTCATCATACCATTTCTGAAAATTAATAATGTTCTTATTTCTGATGACATTTTTTTCCTTATGGCATAGAAAAAGTAGTATTTAGATGTGAAAACAGGCAGTCTAGTAATTGTGATGAAGCACTTACGTCTTCCTTTTCGAAAGCCAGTGTCGTGTAAGAGTTTCTGTAAACATTAGGGCAGCTAGAGGCTTTCAGTTTATATTTATGGATATTTAACATGGCGCCTCTGTATCCCATAGAATTTCTCCTAAATCGAATATTTTTCAAATAACTGTGATGAGGTGCTTGCTGTTGGTTTTTTGCTGACTTGGTGGAAAAACTCCTTAATAGGGGAACTTTGTTACTAACTTCGAGATATTTTTTTTGGTCGGTTTTCTTAAGATCTACAGGATCACCATTTTTTTGGAGTTCATCAGTCTTTTTTAGTTTCATTGAGAATCTCAGAGGTACTCGAGTTTGTACAGCAGAAGCATCGTTTGTTAGAGCTGGTAGACCTTTATCTGAGATGCTTTTGCAGTTCAGAAGATTGGGATAGTTTTCTAATATAATATTGTACAACTGCTTGTTCTCGCTTACTTGTTTCAATACTTCTAAGGGCACCTAAATATTGAAACAGAATTAATTAAAGGTACTGAGATAATGATTATTATCATCTTACCGTTTCATTTTGCTTTAGAAAGGTAGGTAAATCTATAGCTGAGAAAAATCTTTCCTTTTGGGATAGGTCAGGACATGTGTCCACATTTTGGAGCAAGTATTGCGTGTCACCTCCATTTTTTAATGTCTCTTTGAGGTCTTGGATGCTGATAGAACTTTTTCGTGATGAAGCGCATGATGGGGTTTTGTTTAATTTTTTTGCTTTCTTGTCTCTAAAAATATTCCTTATAATATTTAATTAAGTATATTAATAATTAAAAACAAATTTATGGTAATGGATGGTATAAGTAAATAATTATTACTTTACTAGAGCAACAAACTAGTTACTACAAAAAAGTAAATATTTTATTATCTTTTATTCCATTATATTGGAGCCATTTTCATGAAAAACGTATTGATTTACCATTTTTTGTCATCTCTAAACTGAATACAGGGATCTTATTAAAACCCCTGTATTGAGAAGTTACCACAGTTATGTCTATTATGAATCCAAAATAGCTGTCGCGGTCGGTTAAAGTATTAATTTTGATATACAGGCTGTTACAAATTCGCTTCTCACTACAGGGATCTCGGAAACGGTAAGAGGTATAATACGAAGTAGCTTAAATGGGGGCAAAGTTGCGTAATCAGGGGACCAACATTATGCCTCTAAAAAAATCAAGGCTAACATAATTAGTTTTCGAAATATTTGAAAAAAAACGAAAGTTTGGAAATCCGATTTTGTGTCATTTCAGCTTTGTTTGAGGTGATATTGAAAAACGAAGAACACTTTCTCATGGCCACTTTTTGCCCTCTATCGAATGGCATAATCAATTTTTATATGTAACGTTTCGTCTCTCCAGGACCATCATCAACTTGATTTTTTTTAAATCCGACCCTAGAAATTTTATTACATTTTTTGCAAGCCTACATGATCCCCAATACTGTACTGCTTCAGCCCGAACCAGATTCAGACGTTTTGTCCCGAAAAATTCATCTTCAGTGTATTCGTTCCAAATTTATATAAATTTTTTATTTAGACGTCTTTGTTTATTGAATTATCGTACACTGTAAGTGTCGTTAGACCCTGTGAAATCCATCTAGTTATTTAAACTTCTTCTTTTTTCAATATCACCTCAAACAAAGCTGAAATGAAACAAAAACTAATTTCAAAATTTCGGTTTTTTCAAATATTTCGAAAACTAATCATGTTAGCCTTGATTTTTTAGAGGCATAATGTTCCAAATCCCATAAATATTTAACCCAATGATATCCCCACCTATTAAGCCCATGAACCCGAACCCCAATAACCCCATAACCCCATAACCCCATAATCAAGGGAATAAATCATAGGCAAGCTGTATTATTGAAAAACATCACATAGCTGAGGGCTCCTTGAAAAGCAAGTACACAAACCCAAAAAATTCCCATAACCCTATAACCCCATAACAAATAAATCATAGGCAATCTGTATTATGGCTAAACGTTAACGTGATTGAGGATTTCTTAAAAACCTATGCACTCAAACCCTAAAAACCCCATGACCCTACAATTCATAACCACACGATTCACTAACCACAACTTCATTACCTTGTACTTTGATCTCATTCACCAAAGAACCGAGTGTTACAGTAGATCTAGTTTTTTTTATAACTTTAATTGGTAGGACTGCCGGCATTGGCATTACTCGACGTACTCGTACACCACGAGGTGGTTGCGCGATCGGATTTCGTGCATCATAAAGAGCTCATAAGAGCTTTTGAAAAAAAAAATTATAATTTGTAGGACAGACCGTACTATAAATCAATAAAACTATCATTATGGATTTCATAGGATTATGAAAGTTTTTGGGTTTGAGTACTTGGGTTTTCAAGAAATCCTCGACTATGTGATGCTTTTTATTTTCAATAATACAGACTGCCTATGATTTATTCCCTTGGTTATGGGGTTATAAGGTTATAGGGTTATTAGGTTTTGTGTTCATGGGTTTATTAGGTTGGGATATCATTGGGTTTTAATGTTTAGCGTTGGAAGCTCGAGTCTTAAGGTTATATCGTTCTTTTTTTGAGGTTATGAAAAATCCTGAGGTGTTGGGGTTAAATGGACCTCGGATTCGGATTAAGCGACCCAAAAAACGTATAATAAACATGGGCTGACCTCTGGGTCCAAAAATCGATTTTTTTGTGTGTGCCTATGTTTTATTAATAATATTATTAATTAATTATTAGGTCCCCTGATTACGCAACTTTGTCCCCATTTAAGCTAGATTGTATCTCTTACCGTTTTCGAGATCCCTGTAGTGAGAAGCGAATTGGTAACAGCCTGTATATTTTAGTGTTTTTCTTCTATGAAAAAAGTTGATGAATTAATTCATGAAAACTTCGTGTAGTTGTTCATAAATACGTCGTTCAATGTAAAATAGTTATAACAAAATTAGCCTTGCGTGTATGTTAATTTATTAATAAAATTTAATTCTAATCAAATTTATCATATTTTATCAATAAAGTGTAAATATGCTATCGTTTAAAGTTATATAATATTATATCGTCATTTTATTGAGTTGAGTTTTTTCTTTAACATTTAACATGTTCTTTATACAGGTTCGGAAAGTCCCCATGGTACATCGGCCGTTACGTGAGAGCGATAAAGTATGTCATACAAATCCGTGCGATAGACAAGGATGGTTACATTGAAGACGTTTCATAATCTGAATAGTCAGTCCCACTTCTAACCCGAAACGGGCGGTGACTATTCAGATTATGAAACGTCTTCACTATAGCCATCCTCGTCTATCGCACGGATTTCTTTACTTTACTTTGTCGCTCTCATGTAAAGGCAGATGGACCGTGTGGATTTTCCAGCCCTGTATATTGGTAAAACTTTCCAGATATACAGGGTGTTAAAAAAAGAGTGTAAAATATTTAAGGAGGTAATAGTATGAACCAAAATAAGCAGAAAAGTCCCAATAAACATGTGTCCGCAAAGTAACGGTTGCGGAGATATGGAATGTTTTATGTTTTTTAACCCCTTTTTTATTTTGCAAAAACGTTGTGTATTTTCTTATAATAAGTGGTTGATGTTTAGTGAAATAAACAGTACGTATTTGACAGTTGTTCTCAGTGCACAAGTTTTCTTTCGCTATGGCTGGTTACTCTAACGCAGAATTAACAGACATGCATTTCATGTATGGTCGTGCTAATGGGAACGCCACCGAAGCGCGACGTCTTTATGTTGACGCTTATCCANACTCTACGAAATTTTATAACCACTCACAACTATTACTTCTGTTCATACGCGCGAGTCAGGTGTAGCTCGAGCAGCGGTCGCCTTTGTAGTGATTTAAGATTTTAAGAAGCAGGTATAGGGAATTTGACCCTAATAGTAATGGATTCTGAGACTTGGGATATTACTCTAGCCAATCCAACAGTAAAAATTACCAAATGAGAAACTTTATTTTTTGACTTTTGGCCAGTTTTTTGGGATTCTGCCCCACTGTGTGACGTAAACAATTTCCAACAGTAAACATGACGGTAAGCAAAAGTTAGAAAATTTTCGTAGAAAATCTATGAAAATTTGAGATTTTATTGGTATCTGTTTAATGCAACTATGAGAATCCTATAGATAGTAAAATAGAAAGTAAATATACAGTGTGGTCTCAAAGTTGAGTCATTTATTTTAACAGCTGGTAGAACTAAAAAGAAGTCAATTTACCAAAAATCGTTTATATAAAAGTGGTCAAATACAGCAATTATTAACAATAATTATTTTAAAAAATTGAAATTTAAAAACTTTCTAATACAAACCTGATTTATCGTCATTTTCGAACACTCCGTTGTAAAAACATAAATTGTTTGTTTACTACTGACACTGAATATGTTTCTTTTTTGTAGTTGCACGGTCTTGAATACACTTTTCGATTTGACAGTGCTAAATAATTCGTACAGTAGTGCGTGATATTATTTTTGATTTGTGAGTATTTTGTGCAATAAAAATGGCACATGTTTATGAAAACAATGAACTAGTGGACTTAATATTAACTTACAAGGAGTATCAACAAAATGCAGCCGCAACATTTCGCTTGTACGCGGAAAGGTTTCCTTTACAAAATTATCCGGCTCCGTGGATGTTCGTCAGGATGTCAGATGTCAGGATATTTAAAGGAACAACGAGAAGGTTACACTGGAAGACCTCCTCCACGCGAAATGATGGAGATCGTGGAAGAAATTTTTACAAACATCCACGGAGCCGGATGATTTCGTAAAGGAAACCTTTCCGCGTAGAAGCGAAATGTTGCGGCTGCATTTTGTTGATACTCCTTGTAAGTTAATATTAAGTCCACTAGTTCATTGTTTTCATAAACATGTGCCATTTTTATTGCACAAAACACTCACAAATCAAAAATAATATCACGCACTACTGTACGAATTATTTAGCACTGTCAAATCGAAAAGTGTATTCAAGACCGTGCAACTACAAAAAAAAAACATATTCAGTGTCAGTAGTAAACAAACAATTTATGTTTTTACAACGGAGTGTTCGAAAATGACGATAAATCAGGTTTGTATTAGAAAGTTTTTAAATTTCAATTTTTTAAAATAATTATTGTTAATAATTGCTGTATTTGACCACTTTTATATAAACGATTTTTGGTAAATTGACTTCTTTTTAGTTCTACCAGCTGTTAAAATAAATGACTCAACTTTGAGACCACACTGTATATTTACTTTCTATTTTACTACCTATAGGATTCTCATAGTTGCATTAAACAGTTACCAATAAAATCTCAAATTTTCATAGATTTTCTACGAAAATTTTCTAACTTTTGCTTACCGTCATGTTTACTGTTGGAAATTGTTTACGTCACACAGTGGGGCAGAATCCCAAAAAACTGGCCAAAAGTCAAAAAATAAAGTTTCTCATTTGGTAATTTTTACTGTTGGATTGGCTAGAGTAATATCCCAAGTCTCAGAATCCATTACTATTAGGGTCAAATTCCCTATACCTGCTTCTTAAAATCTTAAATCACTACAAAGGCGACCGCTGCTCGAGCTACACCTGACTCGCGCGTATGAACAGAAGTAATAGTTGTGAGTGGTTATAAAATTTCGTAGAGTTCACCGATTTATCTCTAACAAAATGGAATCAACTCATAAATGTACGTAGATTATGAATATGTAGGTTAAAATACTCAATATTTTTACAAAAAATAGTAATTGGCTACCAAACTTATAGACCAGGCGGTATCTGTTTTGGTTTGGGTGAATCGTATATCCACGGAGATTTTTGGCTTTTTGGCTTTAAAATATCACTAGAAATGAAAATTTTTCTATGCGCATAAAAAAAACATGGGCTTAACTTTTGACGGCACAATATGTTAAAAAATTGGAAATATGTCATATTTTTCTTCCTATTTATTTATGTATCTTTTTAAGAGTTGATTTTAGGCGAAAATGGAAGAGGAAAAAAATGTTTGTAATTAAATTTTTTACAATACATGACTGGTTACAAATCGAATGAATCATGATTATTATNGCCTGCTTGGAAATGGACGGAGGGCACTTTGAACATCTTCTGTAACTTTGTTTTTTGTTTGTTAAAAGCTTCCTTTGTCGGTTTATTCCTAATAAAATAAAATGTTTGAAAAACGAATAGTGGTCCATATCTCCGCAACCGTTACTTTGCGGACCCATGTTTATTAAGACTTTTCTGCTTATTTTGGTTCATACTATTTCCTCCTGAAATATTTTACACTCTTTTTTTAACGCCCTGTATAATAGGGAGCGTTATATGTATAGGAAGTGTACTGTCAATTATTTGCATTAATTCTGCGCGATAGTGGGTTTAAAAGTTCCTGTTTATGTGTCTTTGTATTTACTCTTGATAATTTTCTATTTAATTATAAATTTATTTAATAATATTACCACATGAATAAATTAATTATATTTATACCACAGTAGTAAACACAGGCCAATTCTAATTAATATTAGTGAACTTGTATATTTTTAAAATCAATGCATTTTTTTACTTTTCATTAAATTATAAACTTACTCTGTTTCATTTATCCAATCCGGATCCCTCATCAGCATTCCGCATACGCACATATTAGCGAAAAGTCCCGCCACGATCAACAGCGTGCCTCTCCATCCAAACTCGAAGAGCAAACAAGTAGAGAGAGGCGAGAAAACCACGGTCCCGAAACCGGTGCCACTAGCCGCCAAACCTAAGGCCACGGTTCTTCGTTTCTCGAACCAAAATGCGATCGAAACGACGGCGGTAACGAAACAAAGCCCTAAACCGAGACCTCCTATGATCCCAAATGTTATGTACATGACACCTATTGACTTGGCGTAGGAGCTGAGGACGAACCCCACGGTGCAGATCAGGCCTCCGACCACCGTCATCGACTGGCACCCGTATTTGTCCACTAGGGCACTTCCGATTGGACCTAGAAGTTTTTTGACAATTTAGCAGTGCCTGATGGTAAACTTTTAGACGTAGGTAGTATTTTTCTGTACTCTCTTACCTGCAATCAGGGGAATGGCCATGAAAAGGCTCCCTATCCAAGAAGTGGCCGATTTGGAGGCTTTGAATTCGTGCAAGAATTCTATGAACAGCAACCCGAAAGTGAACCCCACTCCGTCGGATATCATATTGATATAGAAACAGGCCAGTACCACTAGCCAACCCCAGCCCCCGTCGGGAATCCGGGGTTTCATCTCGGCCACATAGAGACTGATTTCGGAGGAAATAATCGACTCCTTCCTCTGAAACCGCCTGTCGATGTGGAGCTTGTGCTCTTCTTCATCTTCCAAGGACTCCATGCTTGGTGCCACTTGAGATATGGTCACCAGCGGGGCAACACGATTTTGATTGGTGCTGCTCATATTTGGTAAAGATTTTACCACTTCAGATAATGTGCAATTTGTAATCGAGCTTGCTCCAAATTTTAGACCGAGTCCTCAGTCTCAGCCTGGGATCGCTCCTGCTTTGTTTCTTGTAGAAAAAAGTGCACAGACTTTGATTTCTCATCAAGAATCGGTGTGGTGGCACTAGGAACTACCTCTTCTAACACCTTGGCAGGTTATCTGAAACAGCGAATCTTAATAGGTTTAGTACTTTGCTTTAGTTAAGTGTTAATGTGTTTACCATCTTCTACATGTTGTCTCATAAAACTAGCTTACAATGACCAATGTGGGGAACTAATACTGGGTAATAATGTAAATATATCAGCACTATTTATACCTAAAGATAAAATATTTACGATTATGTAGTATGTAGCAAGTAGGATTTTGCTCATATCGTTTAGCTGATAAGGCGTTAGATTTTGATAAACAAAGTAGTTGTAATAAGGACGTGCACAGAAATTAATGAATATGTGTGCTATGATGTACATTGTCTGGCATACAGGGTGTTTAGCGAAAACGGTTATATATTTTTTGCAGATTAAACAAATTTTAGCTTCATTCATATAAATTATACGGAAATATAAGAGTTTTGTTAAGTTTTGTATACATTTATTGAAATCTAACAATTTTTATTATATTTGCATTCGCAAAAGAGCAGTTGTACAGAAAAACATTTTATTAATGATATAAGTAGTCGAGAAGGAACTGTTTGTAAAAAATCTTTTCTAATCTTATCAAAATATTTATATTTGATTTGTTATTTTTAAAGATAAAAATTTATTACGTGACTGTAAATATATCAAAAAATATTATTTAACATAATTATCAAGGTCTCTATTAATATTAACAGTGTTCAACTATAAATAGTGTCTGAAAGACTTTTTGCAGAATATTTGTTTAGTAAAGTTTATTGGAAAAATTTTTAACTTAACATATTATATAACTAACATAATAATTATGACAATGATAATGTGGTAAACAACTACTTTGAGGGCTAAGTATCCCGTCCACCATTGAATTTCACCCTCAATATCTCCTAGTAACAGACCAGTTCCGAAGTTATTCTCTCATCATAGGTGAGACGATTAACGAACTATTTAACTAACTGGATGTTTATTAATCGACAAAATTTGATATTACAAAATATACAGTTCTCTAAAGAATATATACAGGGTGCTTTTATTAAGCAACTGATGGTCTGCATGCTTATTTTTTCGAGAAAATTAACTATAAATGTAAGCCGAACCTGTGCATCTTGTGCACGTGCACAGCCAAAATGCTTCGGACTCGCTATGATGTGTAAAGCGCTACTCTAATTGGCCGACGTTTCACGTGACTTTAATATAATGCTTTCTGATCAAGAATTAGCAGATATGGTCTTAATGTACGGAGAATGTCGGTACAATTTAAATGAGACTTTTCGTTTGTATGCGGTCCGTTACTGTAACAGGCGACAACATAACAGTAGAACAGTGCAAAAGGCAGTTCAAAGGTAACGGGATACTGCAAACGGACATTCCTGACATATGAAGGTCGTGAGAAAAGCCGCAACATATTTTTGACAATGAAGAAAACACCATAAACCTCGCTGAGGAAGATCCGAGGCGCAGTACTCGCGACATAACAATTATTATACCTCTATCATGTATAGTCTTTCCGATCTCAATTGAAGAACCAAGAGGTTGGCCGTATGTACCAGGTTCGGTCGCTGACACATCAACTCAGCACTGAAATATTTGAAAAACTTGTTCCCATATTTATTTAGCCATACCCATATCGGGTCGAACTAAACGTAGAAGTGGTAGAAATGTACACGCCTGATGGTTGAAGAATGCGCGTACACAGACAGGCGAACTGGGAGACTGGGCACTAAATCTCAACTGTTGACAAGGGGTTGACAATTTGCCTAGCAGTGCAGTGCAGCAATGCGGAATTTGGTATGATTCAGGTAATTTTAATTTATTATAGGCACCTTACCTTCTAATTACAATTGCGAAAGGGATATTTTGTTTACTAATATTATTACAACATGATATTTTGGAGACCATTTGAAACGGAACAAAATTGTATAGGGACGCCTATGAAACTCATTAAATTTTATTGCTAGGCGTTTTTATACATGTTCAACTGACTTTGGAAAGACTATACAAAGGGTTCGGGCTTTAAATAACAATGATTTTCAGCCCTGCACGGAATTTTGCCAGTGGTTTCGACATCAAATAGCACACCATCCGGATTTTACAAGCAAGGTGCTTTTTACGGATGAATGTTGTTGCACTAAAGACGGCATACTAAATTTTCACAACATTCACTATTGGTGTAATGCAAATCCTCACGTTGTACAAAGATCTCGATTCCAGCAACAGTTTTCAGTAAATGTGACATTTCAGAAACACCCTGTATAACTATATAGTAGATAAATCGTATTTCACTTTAATAATTTGAATGCTTTTTCTCGTACTTAGTTAGATTTCAATTGAAATTTTAGCATAACTGAAAGCCATGTCTAATTTCAATATTTTTAATATTCAGTGTACTTTTTAAATGCTCAAAGTTCAAATTATATGTTAAATAAAAACTCACCACTTTATATGACAAAGCACTGTGTAGAGTAACACATTTTTAGACTACTGTAATTTTTAAAGTGCACTTATTTAATTGTAAGCTTACTTCACATAATATGTCTGTATAGTGGATAATCCAGAAGTCAAAAAGTAAATAAATACCGTTGTTCTTATTTCTGGTGATGCAATACAGAATACAGCTTGTGGTGCTTTGTAATCCACCAACTCGCGTTAATTGTTTCATTTATCGTTATTAGCGCTTGCTTATATTTATCGCCGTCTAATATCTAAAGATTAAGTAGGTACTGTTTAGTTGGAATCCGGTATGTACTGGGTGATACAAATTTCTATGAACAACTGTTGCATGTGATACTTTTGTTAAAATGAGGTCGTTGTCAAGTTTTTTATAATTATTATTTCCGAAAGATTTGAATAAAATAATCGTATTGAATACGTACACGGAAAAAATGCCTCGTTACATGTTCCATTTTGTGCAAAAAAAACCGGTCATAATTGTATATAACCATGTGTATTTTCGTATAAAAAGTATATTACTTTTATTGCAGCAAAATCTGATATTATTCCATTGACTTTTTTAATAGAAACTAATAAATAAAAGAATATATCTGAGAACGCTAATGTTGTTGGCTGCATTTGTGACATATGTTTTCTGACCTCAAAACCTACATTTTTGTATAAAAAAAGCCTCAGAGTAAAAAATTCCGTCTTTGTATGTCTAATTTTCCTGGACTATTATTATATTAGATTAGTGTTGTTCTCGGTGTCCATCCTGGTTTTGAATAATTATTACCTATACAAAACAAATAGAATAAATGGATTTGCTTGAAGAAACTGAAAGACATCAATACCGTGTCGTAATTTGTTATTTGTTGGCACTTATTCTCTGCAAAATGTTAAGTGATATGTGGAGACATAGAAAGCTGTAATCATTCTTAAGTGTTTTCCAAATATATTTGTTGACAGGACTTGAATACTATTTGTATTTTATTTCAAGATTGTGTTATTTTATTCCTATAGTTCAGTGTATTGTTTTTGTAATTATAATCATTGTTTAAATATAATTTATATGAGTAACAATTTATGGTATATATTTTTTCAAGACCCTAAGATAATTTCTTGAAAATTTGTAAATGACTCACAGTGGCCTGTGGGTCATCCCAAAAAGCTGGCCAAAAGTCAAAATCTTTAAAAATCGATCTGAAATTTGTTACTCGGGGGTTTTTGGGGTCGCTGATAACGAATTTGGAGTCAGAATTACAAAATTCAATGTGGAAGATTTAATATAGTCATATCAGAAGTAGAAATATTTTGTAAATAAGGATTTTTCGAGTAGATTAAGAATTAAAAGATTATGAAATTCAAAATTTCACATTTATCAAGCATGAAGATGTAAAAATGACAAATGACATATTAGACTATTCATATAAATCGTTAAATAAGTATCGGGAGTAATTTATTTGAATCCCGTGCCAAAGTTGTAATATAAAATTCCAGTTTCCAAGAAAAGAATCATCATCAGATGAAAAATCTTCATTTGTATTTGTAGCATCCGTCGAATCTTCTGAAGTTGAGACAATTTTGTCTTTATCTGCAATCTTCCCATGTCTTACATCGTCCAGAGAAGGCGAAATTCATTTTACTCTACATTTTACAAAAACTTATACAAAAGTTGTTAGGCACTTATAGGCAGCTGATTTTTTTTTTTAGTTTACAGATAATAGTTTTGTCTTTTTTGTCCCATAAGTTAAATGACAGAATTCTGCAGAATTATTAAACTTTTTTCTTCAAAACTAAAATATTATTTCATTTTATAACGTAAAATTCACATAATAGTCCAGACGGTATCTGTTTCAAAAAGTCATATTTGGGTGAATCGTATATCCATGGAGATATTTGGCTTTTTGGCTTTCAAATATCAGTAGAAATGAAAATTTTTCTATGCGCATAAAAAAAACGTGGGCTTAACTTTTGGAGGCACAATTTGTTAAAAAAATTGGAAAAATGTCATATTTTTCTTCCTATTTAATTATGTATCTTTAAGAGTTGATTTTAGGCGAAAATGGAAGAGGAAAAAAATGTTTGTAATTAAATTTTTTACAATACATGACTGGTTACAAATCGAATGAATCATGATTATTATGGTAAAAATAGAAAAAATCACAAAAATGGGGTTAAAAACGATACTTATTAGGGAATTTTTTTGGTGTATTTAAATTGGGTGTAGGACCTTTATACTTGGCTCAAGAAAATTTCATGTTATGTAGAATCATCACACCAAATTTCATCAAAATCGGTTCGATAGATAATTTTGCAATCCAGATTTTGAAAAAAAATTTGCAAATCTTCAAAATTTTGCACATCGAAAACCAAGGCCCTTAGATACTTGAAAATTTAATCACATATAGAACGGCTCTCAGGCTTTCAAACTTTTTTTGAAAAATTCGAATCCGTCAATTAGGAGAGCTCTGGCGCTTGTTTAAACATTGGTCGAATTTTTATACCTATAAACAATTAGAACTTTGTGAATATTCAATCAAATCAAAATTTTTAAAGCAGGTTTTAAAAGTTCTTGGAAAGACGCTTCTTTAAAAAAAA